ATTTTCTCCCCACTGCTCCTTCAATTGCTTACACGCCGAGGTGGCGGGATAGTTAGCGAGTTCTACTTGTAAGTGGGTTTGTAAGGAGGTCGCGGATTTTACAGCTACTGCGTCGGACTCAATTAGATGAAGTCCGAATGCGTAAACGTCGGTGAGGTAACCTTTGAGTGCACATAAAGAAACCATTCCTGGTAGAAATCCCCGAGTCTTACACTACGATGTATCCCGTTTCGTATGTGCTGATTTCAGATGTTTTATTTGTAATTTATTTTGATGTTGCAATTTGTCATTTATAATTTCCAAACCGGTTGGCGAACCGGTTCAGCACCCCGAACCGGTTTGCGGATCGAATTAATCGAACCGGAACTGAACCGGAACAAAATTAATTTACCTGAACCGTAACCGAACCCGTATTTTTTTTCGGTTCGACACACTGATATATATATATATATATATACTAACCAAACCTGGGTAGTTGCATTCTACATATTCTAGAGTATATGCATGCAGAATTTGGTTGTGATAGGACAATATTGAGAACAAAAATTATTGTGCACAAACTGTGAAGATGCCCCAAACTACATAAAGAGAAAAATGTGTTTGAATGTTACCATAGATGTGTAGCACTTGTTTGTAGCAGTAAAAATATTTTGTTAATAACTGAGGTATCAGGCACTGCGATGGAGAGGAAACGGCAAGGCCAACACCACCTAGACAGAAGGCCTCCACACGCGTCATCATAGTCAGATCGATCGAGGCGAGAGATTGGGCACGAGTGCTGCGTCAGTGTTCGGCTGCGGCTCGTGGCCAATCAGCGCGTCGAAGGTCGGGCTCGGGTCTAATAGCCGACCGAGCGCGATCCGACTGTGATGACGTTTCATAGAGGAAGAGGAAACCATGCGGAGGCCTTCTGTCTAGGTGGTGTTGACAAGGCCCACTTCTCAACATAAATGTGATGACGGGTGACGTCACATTTTGAAGAACCACGCAGAGAAAAATGGCTCAAATATATGCCATTCTAGGTTTCTGGGCAGTCTTCGAATGTATATTTTACTAATCTTGCGGTCAACACCGGCACTTATTATCTTTATACATAAAATATGAAGATTCAAAGGTAATGAAACACTATAAAATCCAAAATCAGCTTTCTAGGGGCGAAGCTCCTTAGGGTCTAGCCTTGTCCTTCCGCCGTCCGTGCTCACATCGATCTTGCTGGTGCTCGTAAGCTCATATGCTCGTGTAAAAAAAAAAAAAAAAAAAGAGATAAAAAAAAAAGAAAATGTTTGTGCAGTCGACCCTGCAGTTTTATCAGTTTTCAGAGGCCTCCGGGGGGCACTGCATGTTTCGACGGCCACGCGCTACCACCGTCTTCGCATCTGATTTTAACCCAATAGTACATAAATGAAAGCACCACTTTTTCACCTCGGGCTTGAAATAATTTTGACGTTATATGCAATCCCTGCTCATAGATAGTAATTATAAGCAAATGGGAAATGTTCAAGGGCCACCTAATAAATGACGCCAGAATGTTCCCATGTCGCAAACAGTCCAGTGGTTGCAACTCTCAGTAGCACTCAGATGCAAATGTGCAGACAAGCCTTTACGGAAAAAGAAATCCGCTTTGCTGTCCCTTTACAGAAAAACATTAGATGATTCGAAATCTAAATTTTAAGAAAAGGCCTTAGAGAAGTTGTGGAACTAATATATACCCGCTGGTGACTTTTACGTTGATGCGTGCACCCATGGAAAACTCAGAATTTTCAGTTTAAGAACTTGTGGCTCAAACAAATTGAACAGCCAACATATCATCAATCAAGTCCAGTTTGTTGTTAACCTGTTTGTCATTGCATAGAAAGTTTTTTCGACTTTGCCTGTTTCATCATGCGCATCGTCATCAGTCGTTACGAGACCATTTCTTTACATTGCCTAACTACTACTCTTCCCGTGTGGACCACAGAATAAAGTTGGATTAACACGTTGCCAAACAAACACCTTTTTTATCCATTTCTCCCCGCATACATCAAATGACTGAAACCACCTTCCCAGCAGATATCGCAAATATACTGATTTTTTTTTTTTTTTGCCAATCTCTCTTTACATTTTTGTTTGATGAGCCAACTTGAGTCATTTGCTTTTGTTTATTTTGTTTGTAGCAGATGCTACTTTGGGCTTTTGCCAATCACAGTGAATTTTTAACGTTATTTTTTTATTTCTTGCCACAATTATTATTTTTTTTTTTTTATTGTTTTGCTTTACCCCTCCTCTTTACAATACTTTGGTGCTTGAGGGTATGTACAATAAATAAATAAAACTTAAGGTCTGTGGTTCTACAAAATGTTCGCTTTTTGACTACTGTGGTTCTACAAAATAGTTTGGTGCAATGGGGCTTTTCTTTTTTCTTTTCACAATTATCTGCTGACGCTTGGAGCTTTAAGGTGCCATTCTTGTTTGTACCATACAGCAATTTCCATAACACTACAAACTGTAGAGAATGTAATTACTACACTCAAAGTACTGCAAATCTATGATATATATTTTTTTATTTTTAATATCTTATAAATGTTTGCTTTGGCAACAGGAAAGAAAACCTACCTAGAACATTGTATCAATGTGAATACAAAAAAAAAAGGATACCAAAATGCTGTCATAGATGATTTCACAATTAGGCCATTCACATAACATACTATTCTAATTTCACAATGTTACAACTGATTCATGTACACTTTCCTAGCAACTTTGCCCAAACTGAAACTGATTTACTGCCCACGTCCGAACCAAGCACCTGTATCCGAACAATATTAGGGGAGGGCGTAATTTAAAGGATAAAAATTATACCACATAAATTAATCTCGGTAATTCATATCTGCATCCAGTTGAAACTGCATTTGGTCTTTATAAGTGAACATGCGAAACTAACACCATATTGTTCCTTGTGCCTTCTTCCTGCCTAAATGTCACCACACCCTCTCCTGTCAAATTGCATTGAAAGCTTCGCACTGCTTTCTCCCCAAAGACATTTAGCAGCCTATTGTCACCCCAGCTGTTTTTGCACACATGACTACACTTGGGAAGGACGCCAAAAACAGATATAAATAACAAACAAAACGGTCGCAAGTCGAGGCGCATTTCCTGCACATGACACGAAAAATTGACCTCGAGAACAAGGGAAAATCTAGGAGCCCGAGAAATAATATTAATGATAAAAAAGAAAAAAAAGGTCATAACGGCAAAACAAATGAGAAAGCGACAGCTGCAAACAACGGAGGGAGCCCTTTCGACAGGTGACAATACAAAAGGCTTTGTTTGCGTCTGTTCCTAAGGTTTTATCTGCAACTCAATAGCATGCCACAGAGAGGAAAAAAAAAAAATAAGGAAAAGCCGGGTTGGCACAGTGCTGAAGCAGGCTGAAACCGCAATCGCGTTATTCGTTATCTGCTTATGTGTGTTTTAGGCGCGAGGCGTTCCACTTGCCATCGCGCCGACAGTGCGAAAAAGTACCGCACCCTGTTTTTCCCCTCCCCCACGCCACTTCCAAAGCCGCAGAAAAAAAAGAGAGAAAAGAAAAAAAAAGTAGAGTAAAGGAATTACGAAGCGCAGAGCAAAAGCAATAAGAATCATTTTCCGATTTACTAATAAAAATTATAGTACAAAGTTTGATTAACAGAAAGGCGGACTTCATAAATGACGATACCCTCGTGATACGCACTCAGTAAAAAAAAAAAGAAAAAAAGAAACAACATAGATATTTAGTCTAAAACGCACATAACGAGAAAAAAAAAAAAAAAAAATCAAGCGCGGAAGTTTGCGGTTTGGTGATTATCTCATTCTCTGACATAAATAACGCACACGTTTTACGCCACGGCACCCGTGGTAGCACGTTCGTAGTCGGAAAATAAAGGTCAAGGCTCGCCCCACGGTAATAAGGCCCGTTCCTAATTGTTTTTTCGTTTTTCTCTCGCCCGTTTCCCGGCGAGTACGAACACCCAGTCTGTCGGTCGCTTCGCGAATGTTACCCCCGTAGTGCTTCTGCAAAAGCGGCGTACTTCTTTTCCGCTTGAACACATGGGATAGCAAATCGTGTCGGAGTAGGGGAAAGAGTTCGCCTCTGCAAGAGTTGCGCTTTGCGAGCAAAACGAGCTGCAAAATGTCAACAAAAAGAGGAAAAATAAAAAAAAATTCTGTCGGAAACTTTTTTTGTGTGTGTGTTTGTTCCACTTCCAGACCCACGCGTCGTCGATCGCTTTAGCAGCGACGTGCTTCAATGACCTGTCGAGGTGTCGATTGCTCTCGACAACTTCGTGCTTTGCTTGCGAGCGCTGCTCGATCCCCCCCCCCCCCCCCCCCCCCCTTTTTTTTCTTTTTTTTGTGTGCTTGGTTTGGTTTTTTACTGCCACCCGTTTGCCTCGCTTCTCAAGAGCGCAGAGGGAAACAACAGCGCGACCTTTGACGCCGAAAGGCAACAGCAAAAACGCCTGAGAAACGTCGGGTTTTCTGCATCAGCAAACAAGCTTCCGCGACACAGCGATCGCATCGACAAGCGTGCACGCAAACACCGCCACTGCGTTCGATTACTCATGTAAACATCTCGCGGGCGTCAACACAGGTTACGCCTTGCTCCTAAAAACAGCTTCGCGATTATGAAGCACTCGGATAGAATGCATTACTACGGCAAACGCGTGCTCTAGAAGGCTTATTGGCCGAGTAATTGCTCCCAGCCATTGATACAATTAAGTTTCCGTGCAAGCGATAGGGTGTCGTAACCAGCCCACGGACTGAAACCTGCACTGCCCCGTGCACTTCAGGGTCTGACGCGGTCGAATGAGGAAGCCAGAGACGCCGAGCACCGGTGCAAGCATCGCCGAATGCAACGGCTAGCGAGAAGCATCTCCAAAATACGTTAGGCCTAGTGAAACAACGCTTGCCAAGCGCAGTCAATTAGTGAGTCCGTCCCGCACGCACGAAAGGCGCTTACGCAATTCGTTCGTCGACGACCAGCTCACCTTTGTGTTGCGAGAAATGAATTCCACGGTGTCGGGTCATGCCTCCTTGGCCGAATCGATGATTCGGCTACAAAGAACACCCCAATCCATTAGTATTTACTACCAACACCTCCGCCATGTTGGAAAGATGTGTGACAAGTACACACGTCACAGCGACGTCACGCTCGACGAAAGCGATAACGATCCTCCCACCCCTAGTCGCTTTTTTTTGCGGTTTTTGCTCGGCGCTAATCGACGCTCGGCTGCGGTTACCACTTAATTGACACTCGGCGAAACAGTGTGCTCCCGCCGCGGCTTAGCGGAGAGGGAAATAAAAATACAGTAAAGCCGCTCGCGTAGCGCCATTCAGTACCTCGCGCGCAGTTTCCTCATCGGCCTCTTACGTTCCGAAACTGAAACCAATTACACCAGCGTTACGTGCGCTCCTTCTACACTGGTACTTGCGCAGTGATGAAATGAAGTACTCACATTTAGTGCAAATAAATCGTCAAATAAAAAAAAATAATGAAAAGGCATTTTATTAAAACTAGAAAGCTTAAGCAGCCTGCGAGACGCCCTTCAGGTTTCTCTTACGCGTCTCCCCTTGGATCAACTGGAAAGGCTACAAGCATGAGAGCCTCCTATTTGATCGCGACTCGACTGCGGGCGAGAACTCGTGCAGCGGAAATGCCAGTTCAAGCTACCCTCCCGCGCTTGTAATATTCGTGACCCCCCCCCCCCCCCCCCCCCCCCCCTAGTGGAATCTAAAGCACTTTCAAAAATCACGAAAATCAGTTTTGTAGGTGTGGATTTAGGGTGTCCCAAGGCTCGGTCGGCAAAAATGGACCGTAAAAACCCATGGTAAAAATCGAAGCCTGCACGTAGCAATCTAAACTTTTCGTCAAGGGTGTATTTCGTAGGCCGTTTCTTTTTTTTTTTTTTTTTTTTCTTGTAGGATTAGAAAGCGTAGTTCAAATCATGTAAAAAATAAAAAGAAGGGCAAAGAAACTTTTGAGGGTCACGGGCGGGCGGCGACAGACGACCAAGTCGAGTTGCGGGACGCGTTTGGCGCGCGTATTGATAGATGGCGTTGGGAGCGGCGTCGCAAGGAAGAAGGAGAGGGAGATATCGCCAAGCTCCATGCGGCCCTACCTTACCGAGGATGCTGCAGCAAAGGTGGCGGAACTTTTTGAGAAGAGCAAAGAAAGAATTAAGGCTGGAGGCTACATAGGATACGTCAATGTGCTTAAGCGTCTTATCAAGCGGCATTCGAGAATGCGCCCCAACGGACGCAGAAGAAGGAAACGTTGGTGGGACACTGAAGTAAAGACAGCGATTCAAGCTAGGCAGGCCGCAAACAGGGAACATCGCCAGTCCCTTCGAATGGGGCATGAGCACATGGTCGCACAAAACTGGAAGCTCTATCAAACGCGGAAGCAATACGCCAAACAGATCATCCAGGAAAAAATGAGGACGGCGGACCTACGTACTGTTCTTGACATTCGCTCCAGTGGAAAAGATGCTTCGAGGAAGTTTTGGAGCTACATGGGTACACTGGAGGGTCGAGACCAATCGACTCCCGTCCTCGATGAGTGCACAGGACAAGAAGTAGAAGACCTGGGTGCACACCTCACGACGTACCTGAAAGAGATGTTTTCTCCCGAGTGCATGCCCACTGCCACAAAAGCCGAATGGACAGCCGAGTCCTCATCCGACGGCAGCCGGTGGGAAATCGGTGAAGTGAGTGTAGTGCGTGCACTAATCCACCTTAAGAAGAACACCTCCCAAGGCCTGGATGGTGTCCCGGCAACGGTACTCAAAGCCCTAGGAAAGGACGCCCGACAACACCTCGCGTCTATACTAAACGACATCCTTTGTGGCACAGCATCTATACCAGATGATTGGAGGCTCGGCAAGGTGGTCTTGATCCCGAAAAAAGGGAACGATCGCCAACATCTCCGCAGCTACAGGCCTCTGACGGTGACGAGCACAATATACAGAGTATTCGCATACATGCTCAAGGAGAGGATGGTTGCATGGGCAGAAGAGGCTGGGCACCTTACTGAGCTACAGGGAGGCTTTCGTCGAGGGCGCCGACTTGAGGACAATCTGTTCACAATAACTCAGTGCATTGAGGTAGCCAGAAAGGAGAAAAGACAATTACTGTGCTGCTTTCTGGATATTGCCAAAGCATATGACAGTGTCCCTCATTCACTGCTCATTCAGTGTTTGGAACAACTAGACCTGCCACAACAGTGTGTTTCTCTCGTCCAATCTCTTTATGAGGGCAATAAGGTGAGGGCAGAAATGAAAGGGGTAGAATCCGAAGACGTGATAGTGACTAGGGGACTTCGACAGGGGTGTCCACTCTCCCCGCTCCTCTACATGCTTTACGTGGCTGGGATGGAGGAGAGGCTAATTCAGTCAAGAGTGGGCTTCTCTTTAACCCACCTAGAGGACGGCGAGGAGGTGAACTGGGTGCTTCCAGGGCTCACGTTCGCCGACGACATCGTTTTAATGGCTGAGACAGCGGAAGATATGCAGCGGCTATTGGATATATGCACTGCGGAGGCTGCTGTGCGACACCTAGGCTTCAACGCAAAAAAATCTGCGCTTGTACAGTTCTCAGGGGTCGAAGACACGCTTTGCTGCACACTTAAGTTGGGTGACGAGGTTGTGCCACTTGAGGACTCGTACAAATACTTGGGTGTCATCCTTGCCAATACGCCGGAATACCTTCGAGATCATTACGCTCATCTTCGCCAGTCAGCAGGGCGAGGGGCCAACGTCCTCCGAAAAAGAAGTCTCTGGAGCTGCAATAGGTTCCTAGTTACACGGGAAGTGTGGAAGGCAGTAATGGTTCCAGGCTTGACTTTCGCGAATGCTGTAGTGTGCGTCCCTGGTGAATTACGAGAATTTCTGGAGCGACGACAACGAGCAGTGGGACGACAGGCTCTGGCCTGCCACGGAAATGTGGCTAACGAAGCCGTCCAGGGAGACCTAGGATGGTCTAGCTTCGAAGCCAGGGAAGCCACCAGCAAGATAAGTTATGATACACGACTCCGCCACATGGATCGAAACCGATGGGCCAAAAAACTTTTTGTATACACTCACATGACTGGGACAAGAACAAGGTGGCAGAAGCGCCTTTATCAACTCCAAAAAAAGTATGGCTTCTTTGCAGAACCCTTAGAGGTAGTGACGGGCGAGAGGTTGGAGTCGAAAGTGAGAAGCAGAGTACGTGAGAGGGAAGTCTTCCAGTGGTTTGAAGCCGCTCAAGCGAAGCCAACGCTGCTGGTGTACAGTAAAAACAAGCAACTGATCGCGGCTGAAACCCTGCTCTATGACAACAGCTTGGGCAGCCGCCTTCTGTTCGAGGCGCGAGCGGGCGCTCTACGAACTCTGGTATACCGGGCGCGGTTTGACCCCAAGGTGGTTTCCACGATGTGCCGCGCGTGCAGAGAAGAACCTGAGACAGTTGAACACATAGTGCTCTACTGTGAGTGCCTGCTGCCAACCCCACTGGTAGATGGCCGGCTTCACTCAGAGGCGATGCTAGCATATGCACTGGGCTTTAAAACGACGGCTGACTCAAACAAACCCTACACGGGCGAAGCAGACGACCCTCCACAAGACAGGCATGAGATTTCTACCATGCAGTGCGTGCGAAGGACGAAAGCGCGTCTGGAACACTGGTGGAAGAAAATTTAGAACAGATAGCTTATAGTTTTTTTTTGGCTAGGGCACGAAGACTTTTCGAGCTCGCCCGGTATAAAGGGAAAAGCCGCATCATCATCATCATCATCATCAAGGTGCAGCCGACCAGCCAAAGAAAGCAGACGACACGCAGACGAAATCCGTTGGCAGCAGAAGTGTCGTCGTTATGCAGACCCGTTTTTTTTTAACTTAAATTTTTGTTTTTATTGTTTGCATTTTTCTTTAAACAAGGGTACATTACAAAAAGATTATAATAATTTTACTGAACCACGGTGGTCGCGAGCCGTCTCGATTAAAGCACATTCCGCTGGAACCTCCGAAATGGCGGCACTCAGTTTAAACCTCTGCTACACTGTACCTCTGCTGTGCGACGCTATTCGCTTCCTAAAACCTGCACCGTCACTCAGTCGACGCTTCAAAAAATGTCGCTACTTGTAGAAAGCTCTTATCTAGGCACTTTAGTTTCTATCAGAGAGCTCTGGTCTCGATTAGAGTTACTCTAGTCTCGTCTCGATCTGGTCTCGATAAGGAAGTAGCGCCATCTATTAATACGAGCGTCAAGCGCGCCCGCCACTCGACTCGGTCGTCTACATCGACGCCCGCCGTTGACACTGGCAAGTTTCTTGGCCCTATTTTTTACGGAAAGGGAGCTACACTTTTTAATTTTACAAGAAAAAACTGACCTGTGAAATACACATTTGACGAAAAGTTTAGATTGCTACATGCAGACGTCGATTTTTACGGTCCATTAAACGAATTACCACGGATAAGAGGAAGCGTAAAAGAGTGGATAAAAAAACAACAAATAAAAATGCGTTAGCATGACACTTGGGAAACGCGACACACGTCCGTCAAGGATCAACAAAAATGTTTTTATTTCTGTTTGTAACTAAAACTGCTGTATATATATATATATATATATATATAAAATCACCGCCTGGCTTATTTAGTACACCTTCGCAGTATTGCCGAAGCATATAAAACAAATTTTGGGCGATTTATTTTGAGTGGGTTACATAATCGTTCACTTGACCTACACAGCAGCAGTGGCGTGATCGGTCCGAGCCCTCATGGAGCATAAGAATACACACACTGTTTTCACTTATAGCAGTGTGAATATTATGTCACAAATCGTGTGTTGGCCTGTCCCAACTAAAATAGAACGTTTCCTCTGCCTTCCCGCTTCTGTGCAATTCCGTGTTAGCATCAACTGCCCGGAAGGTCCGGTTCCCACAAACACAAAACCAGCTGTTTAGATTCACGTAAAGGCACCAGGCACGGCAACAAGGTGCTGACAGATGAAGTCAGAAGTCAGAGTATGGACTGCTGTAAATAGTTATTTTAGAGAGAGAAAAAAAAGTCAAAAGAGAACTTTGGAGCAAGCACCCGAATTGCTGTTTTGTTTAAGTTCTAAAACTTGCAATAAAACAGTGCCTTAAAACAAAAACAACGCTTTGTCATTTAATAAGAACATGAATGGAAGTTTACATGTCAAACATCATGATAACAAAATATTCCAAGGGTCCCATCAACCGCTCCAAAGCCCGTTACAACTCAAGAAGGTAGCACGAGGGAAAGGAAGCAGACGCAGCACTGGAGAGGAAAGGTGGGAACCTGCTCCTCTTTCCAGCATTCTGTCTACTTCCTCCTCCCCGGACTTCCTTTCCCTCACCCTACCTTCTTGAGCTGTAACTTACTATATTTCATTTTAACTTCCACTGTTTATTGTGCTATCAAACAAATGAAATGCGTATAAAGGCAATAGATAACCGAGAAAGTTGATATATAAAAAATATATATATATATATATATATAGAGCAGTCCATTTCCTCGCAATACTAAAGTGTCCTAGCTAAATCCCAATATTGGAAGGTATGTATCGTCAGAATGCTGGTGTACTCTTCCCCCAGCGCGCAGGTGCACTGGGGCGAAGCAAGATATGCAAAATCGCGATGCCTACTCCACTGTTGTCACTTCACTGCAGCACACCAGTGCAAGGCAAGAAGCCCACTTCATGAAGCTACCCCACTAGATCAGACAACATGCGAAATATCGCATAACTTCTCAGTACTGTCAGAGTTTGATACAGAAATAAATTCAAATAATACTCTATTTGAAGTGATAATAAAAAAAAAAGTTCAGAAAATTCACCGAAGCCTATCGTCACAACCTGGTCGTGCAGTGGGGCCCGAGCTATCCTATTTTTAGTATCAGTGAAGTAAAATTAAGTTTTGGCGCAATATTTGTGCAAATTCAATCCTCACATTTTGGCGAAACTGCAGCTTGGCGCAAATGGCATAGCAATCGCATCACTTCAGTAGTTTCATGTACCGTTACCTATGACATGAAACGGTGCAAACATGGCAGCTTCAGGTTCACCCCGACTCAGCGGAGCCACATACGAGGGTCAACATCATTACTACTCACTTGCATCGCCAACTTCCCTTCGCATTCTCTCGACATGAATTCTACACCCTCGAATTATGACAAGGTAACAAATTATATACCCCCAAATGATGATGAAGTAACAAATTATATGCCCCCAAATGTTGACAAAGTATGAAATTATATGCCCTCAAATAATGACAAAGTGACAATAACAATCCGCAACCCCATTCATTTTTGCTCAGTCAAAAAAAAAAAAAAAAAAAAAACACTAAAGAAGTTTAATAAAAAAATGCGTCAGAGGCAATTTTTAGACTATTTTTATCCCGTGAATCTGAAAATCACCCTTTTTTATCTTAAGATGTTACTAGACGCGAGAAAACATGAAAAACATCTGACCAGTCGTTTTGTCATATTCGGATCTTTCGGCCGCCAAGAGCGTGTCACTTGTGTGGGCAACGCGTGCAATTGCAACTTTCCATTCCCTGCACTGGCACCAGCCGCGACGTCTTTTTGTGACCTTTCCTTGAAAATAGCAAGTGCACGTGCATAGCTTTGTTAGGCGCCGAAGATGCGCGAGAGTGAAGATTCCGAAAACTCCCAATATGAAGTCGTACTCCGGGAAGAGGGAGAGGGGGGGCTTTAGCAATACTTTGAAAATGATTTTCTGCACTCTCCATGCGCCAAATTAAAAAAAAAAAAAAAAATAATAATAATTTCAATATTCGTGACCCTGGAGGCCAAATGAAAGTGTTTTTCCTCAAATACAGAACAGCTTTAGTTTCCCTTTAAAGTTAACACTCAGTTTAAAGTAGCAGGCTGATGTACTCGTACATTTTCCAGAAACGGTGTACAAGAAAAACAGAAGACAACAAGGCTGACTTTCTTTTACTTCACGATGAAAGTATTGAACTCCCCAAACGTTCAGTGGATCAAGCATTTACAAAGTATTCCAGCTGGTAAGCCTGGTAAATCCTAGCTCTTAATAATCTCATAAGTGCTACCACTTTTGTCTTCTGGGCTGGGGAATGCATTCAGAGCATGCGCAGTAGCTCTTCCGTAGAATATCGGACATCATACACGCGACCACAGCCAAGTAGCAGGCGCCTATTGCTAGGGTGACCAATAATGGTGTGTTTGGTCAAGACAAATTCAACATTTCAGATTGTCTTTAAGAATTTTATTATCCGGCACAAAAACAAATTTTAAGGCGAGCATCTCCAACTGCACATTCACATAAAAAAAAGGACTTGTAGACACTGGTTTTTGCAGTATACCTTGTAGCGAAACACCGTACAAAGATACAAAAGCTACCAGCTACATCTGTACAAAAAAAGTGCCGTCTTGAATTACGACGCTTTCCAGGCACGCTGTGGGCAAAGTTAAGCCGCTGCATGACTCCCTCTCCCTTTTAGCACTGCAAAAGGAAAAGAAACACGCGTTCCTTCTCTCCACAATATTACTCAAAACCAAAAATTAATGTTTTACGAGGGGGTATAGCCCGTAAAGCTCGCTTAAAAGTGTGGACCTCAGTTTTCCGCTGATAATCCGTGCATTTTCCGGCAAGGCATCGAAATTGGAAGACGTGTAATCGTTCCCCTTCTTGCCTCCAACACAATCAATGATTGCACTTGCACAAATATACAGACTATAGTCAAAAAACAAAACAATTCTCCTGTCATCTTTGTGTCTTGGCCAGTGCAAGCCATGTTCTCAACATTCAAAAATATTAGAAAAAAAAATGCTTTGTTGTTGTGATGAGGCATTTTTAGAGCTGAAAACAATTGTCGCTTCGCTTTACAAAAGTTTGGTGCCCGAAAAGCGAGAAGATTTTGAACGTATTGACATGCTAAGTACTTTGGAGCACATTTTGAAAACCAATTCTTCGCTAGCCCGGAGCTTTCCCTTTCATGCCGAAGAACCAAGACGAAACTTCTCAAGGCCAAGACAAAAAGGTGTTGACCTAAAGGCAACTTTGGATGGAAACAATAATGCCGATTCATAAGAACACAAGGATTAGACTTGCCAGAGAAGTGCTTCTATGCTCGTGCGGCAGGACAAGCAAGCAAAGTGGCATCATTGACACATTCATGCGGTTCCTCCAGTGCAAAAACACTTTGACCTGGTCGGTTCACCCGATATTGACTGACACCAAAGCAGGGAAACAATTTTTCTTTTTTCCTCCGAGATGATGCACTTGACTTGAACAAGATATCATTGAACAAGATATTTCATGTAGATGCAAAATGCCAATGGTGTAATCTGTGCTTCGAGAGATACTAGAAGTGGAGAAAATGCACGCAAACAGTTTCCTTTTGGTTACTTGGCGCCAATCATGACCTTCGGCAGGGACTCTTAAGGGGTGAACTTATCGTATGTGCATTCCTCCTCTACCAATCAACCCTTTTGACCAGTAGCCCTAAAAAATACTTTAGTAGCAAAGGAGCCTGACCACACACTCCAACCTAAAAGTGTTAAATTCATACTTTGTCCCTATTGCACAAATATAGATGTTTCCGAGGACAGATAAACTGTAAACTGCACCTTAGACGGCAGGTTAAAATATCTACTAGTCTGTACAACCAAAACTCACACATACTGACTTTACCTACAAATTAAATCAGAGTTGAAACAATTATTAAATTTTAAAACTATAAATTCTTACCACGAGCACAAACGGAACCTAAACACCGTTTCATACACGGCATACATGGGTGCAAAGCTGCAAGCAGCACCTCATTTGCGCGAGCACGTGCGAAGGAAACGTTCCATCAAGCCACAGATTCGTGCCTATAGCTCTAACAGCGTTATACGCTACGTAGGAAACAAAGTAGTTGTTTGAGCAAATCACAATAAAAATACTTAAAAGTCAGCCACACAAAGAAGCTATCATGAGGCAAGAGTTTAGGGCCAAAACTTTCTTTAGCGCAAAACTAAAAATAGCGAAGGACGAAAACTATGTGATCCAATTCAACGAGACAATTACCCAACTCGCTAGCAAGAGGCCTTTGCTCTTTGACTGCAGGAGTAGTGAGCAAATCAAGATTAATTTACACTAAATGAGACATGGTCAGGAAACAAGCTCTCTATATAAGGTGGTCCCAGAAGCTTCCAATGGCAGAACGATCAAATATAAAGGCAACATTACAGCTTCCTTCCTCCACTTGCTAGACAGAGAGTCCTCCACTCAATGGTCGTTTGATGGCTGCCAAAACAGCAAACAAAAAACCACAACTCGATTGCAGTTAAGAAAGGAAGAGGATAAGGGATGCCAAGCATTAATGGTATCCCTCTACCAGGCAAGCAGAAAGGCAGAAAAATTAAGCTCAATTTAATAGGTCATTCCCGTTTCCGTTACAAGCTTGACCTTCGACATGCAGGCACCGCAAGGTTGGAAACCACAACAATGTTCCATCGCATAAGGCAGTGTTAGTCACAGCTCGGTAGCCGAAACTTTCAGACGGTGTCCCGTTGGCGTTTAAGGTTCCAGTACAAAACCAAACAATTGTAGCCATTGGGCATTCCGAAGTAGAAAACCCACTGATCGGGCATGCCGACGACTGGACCCAGCCGGGCCCAACTGGTCGTCGGTGACTTTGGAGGTGGGACTGGCATTTTTTTCCTTCCCCACGATATTGCAGCCAATGAAGAGATGGTTCAACCAAACATGGATGCGACAATCCAACAGCAAAACCGACAGAGACGTCGTGGATATGTCGAACGCTGCGCAGGGCACCACCGAGCTTACCTCGGCCGCCGTCATCTCGCTCCCATACGTCTAGGAGTGTGTAGAAAGGCTCCCTATAATGCGGAAAAGTACTCCCGCCAAAAGCTTTAAGCAGCCGTCACCATCCGAGGAAAAGCTCGCCTCTCCAGAGATCAACTTTACGAGACCCTTCCAAAGGCAGGACCCTCGGACGACGCTTTGCAGGTGTCGTCGAGCGCCACGGGATAGTTTCCCACGAAGGGAACGGCCCCGGATTTTCGTCACCCTCCCCGAATGTGCGACAATCGGGGCGTAGCGTCCCGGCGTCACATGTGGGTCACGTAGGGTGCGCAGTCCCCATCGCCGCCGCCGCCACTTGCGGCACCGGCAACTGCGCCGCTCGTGCCGTTGGCCATCACAGCGAGCTCTTCGGCCTCAACCTTCCTGCTCGGCGGCGAGGAGGGCAGCGAGTCGTCCCGGAGGGCGAGGCGCGGCCGCAGCAGAGAACCCTCGTGGGAGCTGGGAGCACTCGTGATCGACGACTCCCGCGAGAGCGGGGCCCAGGGTGACTGGTCCCCTCTCAGCTCCTCCTGCAGCTCCTTGTACGGGGGCCTTCCGCTGTAGAAGCGCATCTGCACCTGCTTGAACAGGAAGCCCTGCACAAAGTAGTTCTGCAACGAGAGGAAGGGGACCGTGAGTATGACTGACGTTCGGGGAGTGCAGAGGCTCTCTCTTGAGTTTCTACCAACTACTACGACTTGATGATGAATGCATAGGGCAGGGCTGGGCACAGGGACGTATGCACCCAGCCATAAAAACAGACACTCTAAGTGTAGAGCCACGGCAGAAAGGTGATGTGGCAGTTTTATTTCATTTATTTTATCTAAGTTGGTGGCCACAGGGTGTCTCCCTCATAAAGTAATTGCTCATTATGTTTGTTTCCCTACTCATAAAACAAGCACCTTGAAGATGACGTCGTTGTGGTCCCGAGCAGCTTTATGTATGGTGGCACAATGCTCCAAGAATGCAAGCCATCTTTTATTCTATATTTTTTTCTTTCTGATCTTGCAGGTGGAGGGCAATACGTTTACCAGAAAGCCACGAGCCGTGGCCACCCCTGGTATGGAGCTAGCATTGCTGAGCAAAGTTTGTTAGTCGGCGGACCGACCCGTGGAGCTTGAGGAGCAGAAGCTTGTATACTCTCAGAACCCAGAGATCTCGGCTTTAGCCTCCAAGGTAACATCCAGGTTAGCGGCTGTACTGTACTGGCTAACTGGCCCTCCACAGCATTGAATCTGTACTGGGAATCTTAAAGGCAGATCGATCCCACACTGCATGAACATGTGCTTTGTTACTTGCTGTCACTTTGGCATTGGGCGATCTGTATGAACCAGCGTTTCACAAAAAAATCCAGTGTTGCACCAATATTCAAAATTTAAAGTAGTAGTAACAAATAATACACTCTTTGATATTCGCTTCGGGACGAACTACGATATTCATAGTTTTCAAAGTTTTGATCGCGCCAAGTTAGCCCCGTTCAGCGTGCCTCTTACCGAGCACCGGTGAACTGCGGAGAAGCAACACTCACGCAGCTTGCTCCCATGGGTGTTGCTTTTCGACAATTGGCCGGTGCTCAGTGAGAAGCGCACTCAACGGAGTAACCCACCACGATCAGCATTTGGAAAAGTATGAATATTGCAAATGCCTGCTTGAGAGAAGAGCACACTTTCAAAGCGGGATGGTGCACGCACACGCCTGGTGTAAAAATAAACGGAAACTTTGTGAATGTTGATATCTACATTTCAGTAAAATTTTTAAAATTAAACTGTAGCTTTTATGCAAGAGTATATGTTAGGTAAAGATGCACTGATAACCTCCATTCATCATTCACACTTCCTTTTTTTTGTTTCTTTTTCTTATCTAAGGTTGAGGAAAGAATATTTGCAGATAGCCAGATTTGTAAGCCCACTCAATTAGGTATAGCTGGGCATATCTACAAGTTTAATTTTATGTCAAATCCGTCATTCACTTGCCATCCCAAGGCATTGGACTTTCTGAGGTCAAAGTTCATAAATATAGTTAGATTAAAATTATCTTATAAATGGACAAGTGGAAGCTTGGGAACAAGCTTCACAAGTTCAGCCGGGTTTTCGTTTAAGGGGGAGGGAGATTGCTATCAAAAAATTTTATTCCAGTAGGTAAAGTATTTACTCCAAAATAAATAATTTTCGACGTGCCAACGTGCTTCATAAGAATGAATGCGGTCTCACAAATTTGCTATTTTCAAACTGCACTTGCTCCGCATCCCCTAGTCCTAGTGCAGACAGGCACCCCTCATTGGAAAGAGCATTTAATGTATTAATCAAGTTGCAAAACTGATGTTTACAGGCCTAAAATCCTTCAAGAAAGCTAAGAAAGGTCTTGGCGGAAAGGGGAAGCTCACAAACATCAAGGTGAAGAAACCAGCCAACTACTCTGCCCACAAAGACAATGCACCCAACGTTACAGCCGTGCAGCGTGGAGCCCACACCAGTCCCCCGCATTCATAGTCCACTGACGAGGCGCCAAGGCACATCGATGGCCCCACTGGGATGACCTCCTGGTGACACTTAAACTGAAGCAAGCCCCTCGAGGAAGCGGGAGAATCACCAGCATCTTGGCCACACAAGCCAGCCTTCTCCAAGGAGATGGCAAAGGAGCTAGTGCCCTTGTACAACCGCCTGCCACGGAGGGATTTGCTTGAAAGATGTTCCCGGATGAAAACCCGGAAAGTGAATGAATCTCTCAACGCTTTGGTTTGGAAGAGGTGCCCAAAGGTGGAATTCGCTTCTCTAAAGACTGCTGAGTGTGCCGTGGCTCTTGCAGTTTTGAAGTTCAACCTGGGTCCCCGAGGCTTCGAAAAAGCTCTTTTGGGGATGGGCATTGGAGCCAGGAAGCCACCAGACATCACAAGCCGCGAAGGCTACTCAGACGAAGGTTGCAAAGGCCCAAGTTAAGGTACTCAAGTCCTCCGAGGCATTGTGCAAGAGACGAAAGATGGAAGGTGTGGCCAAAGCACAGAAAGACCACGCAGAGGAGGGACTGACATATACTCCTGGAGCATTTTAGGTGGAGTGGCAAGTGCCATCTAAAGTGGAGCACAATTGGGATTTTCAAATGCGTTTCCTTCAGCTTCGTGTTTTGACTATTTTTTCATTGCTCAAGAACTATCGTTGGATGACCGAAGTGCTTTTACAGTGCAACCCATTTATAACGATACTAGATATAACAATGTACCGCTTATAACGATCAGTTCCTAGAATTTCTAGACTGGAAATGATCAGTTTCTAGTCCAGATACAACAATAATTGGTTATAACGACTGAAATTTCGAGTTTTCTCCTTATCGTTATAAGTGGGTTGCACTGTATAACAGCTGTGCGGTTTTTTTGGAGTGAAATTTACTAGAGATCTCGACTATGCTCTTACTTTTTCCAGACTTACTTTTTTAACAACAAAATGTTGACTTTTGTAAAAATAGAAAAATGAACGTCCTTATATCCAAGCAAAAAAATTGTCAGATTTTAGTACTGTTTTGCAGTCATTGGTAAGTTACTTTTAAAAAGCAATTCATTACAGTTACTTTCAGAAAAAGGTAGCGAAGCTACCATTACAGCCACCACAACAAAAGAGTAACTCGTTACAGTTCCAGTTACCTTTAAAAAGTAACGACGTTACTTTTTAGTTACTGTTCTATAACACGAAAAATTTAGAAAAAAACGAGAAAATGCCACTCACCAAGTTTTATTGCATAACATTAAAAAGTATGCTTTTTACTTCATATTGCAACTTAGCAGCAGTTGCTTCTCGAAATTAGTGTCTGAGAGTTTCCCTCGTTTGATGGCGAACACGTCCCTGCCCTTGCTGAACAGACCCCGCGCAACCAGAGCAACGAGCGAACCCCGCGCAAACAGCAGTAAATTTTGCCTCGACTGTTAACACCACGCCGAAGTAGTGGTGTAAATCAAAATATCATACATGCGCAGTGTGGATTAGTGGCGATAATCAAAATACGACACATTTACAATGCCCTCTGTGTGCATTGTTATTTCACGGTTGACTCACCCGATTAAAAAGCGTTTGCGCAAAAAAAAAAAGAAAGAATAGCCGCAACATAGTTAGTGTTCCAAGATACTATGACGTAAGTGTTCAGTCACAAAGCACAAGCGCGTGCGTAAATATAACTAGATTCCTCTTTCATCACATCTACACGTGGCTATATTCGGGTCATGACTCGCGAGAAAGAACGCATTTACAAGTTTGTGCAAGGCCAACTTAAAACTCGAAATGTCGGAACAGAAAATTTGGAAAGTGCAAGGAATAGCTAGATTGTGCTCGTTCAATCATATAGTATTGTTCATAAAAAAACTGGAAAGTAACGAATAAGTAATGTCGTTACTTTCATAGCTGCCTGAGAAAAAGTAATAGAACTACAGTTACAAGTTACATTTTCAAAAAGTAACTCGTTACAGTTACAAGTTACCAAAAAAGTAACAAAGTTACAGTAACTTGTTACTAGTAACACGTTATTACCCAAGACTGCTGCTTTGTAAAGATAGTTCTTTTCCCTTGGTACTACTATTTTTGACATATGAAATAACTTGGCACGGAATGGACCTTTGCAGCAGAAAGTTGGTGCAGCCTCCTAAGCAGGGATGGGCAAAATACATGCAAATATGTATCGAAATACAAATACAAAATACTTCATCAAAAATGTATTTAATTACAAATCTAATTACATTTCCAAAAAAGTATTTAAATACAAGATACAAATACAACCAAATGTATTTGATCTCCTCCAAATACTTTTCCAAATACATTCCTCAAAATCTGCGTGAGCGACTTCAGGGCACCTGCAACGGGTTTCTGGGTATCTCATTATAATTTTGCATTGCACACTCGGGAGTTCCATCGTAAACCGGAGACACGGAAAAATAAAAAAAACGGACAAAACAACAACAAGTCTCAAACACAGCTTCTAGTTTATTTGAACACCTCCGCTCTTATATACACACCACAACCCTCCTCTCCAAAGGTCGACACACCTCCTCTCCACTCCATCAACGACATCTCAAACAGAACCAATGACACATGCTACCTCCCTTCCTTTCATACCAACCAAAAACTGACCCCTTTCCAATCCTTGAAACAGGCACTCAAACCCTGCTAACAATGAAAACACCCCCCCCCCCCCCCAAAAAAAAAAAAAGAAAAAAAAAAAAAAAAGATAGATTTTTCGGAATTGACCAGCCACAACTGATAACAGGCCTATCGAACAGACACAATGTTAGCATTCAACCACCCCTCAAAAAACAAAAAAATTTAAAGACATAGAAAGCGTTTCAGTTCACTTCCGAAACCCAAGGACGGTGTGCTGACACAATTGCCACGCTCCAAGATACATAAAGTCTCCCTCACAACTCTCCTACCATTTTCTTTCTCTTTATGCAATACCTGGGTATCCCCCCACTCAGGCTGACAGTGATTGCAGTCTACAACATGTTTAGCTATTTCTGAATGCTGCGCATTGTATTTTACCGCCCTTTTATGTTCCAGCAACCTATCATTCAAACAGCGACCAGTTTGGCCTACATAAGACAATCCACACCGCAACGGAATGTCGTATACGACTCCTACTTGACAAGTTAAATCAGGGTTTTGGTGTTTCTTTAGGCAACCCTGACGACCACCCGAAAAGGGGGTTAAGCTTTCCAATTTATGTTGTGCCTTGAAAACTAAATTTACTCCGAACCTCTTGGCCACTGACTTCAAATTGTGAGATTTGAAGTCTCACAACTTCACATTGTGAGGTGATTCTTCACCAGCTCGCCTGTGCTTTTAACCTTTACTCGGGAGTTAGTGTGCGAGGCTCTAGTAACGTAATAGAAATATAATCACAAAAAAAAAATGTAATCAGCTTGGACGTAATAGGCGAAAAAAGTACAGAGTTTCAAGTAGCTTTTTTTGTCGATTACATTTTGGTATAGACCAACAAAGAACCGAGACGACCAAGATGCGCAGCACTAGCTAGAGAATTTTTTATTGTTGCAACTCGCACCAGTTACAAAAATTTGGACGACCCGCGCATTTAGAATGTTCCAGGCAAAAATATGAAGGGAAATCAGGCTGGAAAGCTCACAAGTTGTCACAGGCACTTATTTAGCCAGTCTGCCTCTGAACATTGATTCCGTCACTATTCTTGCCCTGGACTAGCACCGTAATCGCAAAGTCACCAGACGCTTGTGCTTGATTGAGAGACACTGCATTCGGTGCAGGACATGGTTTTCTTTCTGCTCTGGACAGTGACAATAAATTTGAGGGATGTATTTTCGCCCACAAAATTGTATTTAATTACAATTGTATTTGAAATACCCACGTTTTAGTATTTAAATACACACGTCAAATACATTACCCAATTTGTAATTAAATACAAATGTAAAATACACAAAGTATTTGAAATACGCAATTCAAATACTTGTATTTGAAATACTGCCCATCCCTGCTCCTAAGTTTGCACGCTATTTCAATGAAATTGGCAGGGTATACTATGCCAATTTCATTAAATTAACACCAGTACTTAAAAAGCAGACCCTCCAAGAGAGTGCCTCCACTTAACATGGTGCAACTGTGGTGAAAGACTTGAAAAAACTATTGGAGGTTCAATTCGAAAATATTCGGCCAAACCACTACGCACTTTGAATTCACTTCAAACTCAAAATCCACTATTCACATGACTACAAAAAACACAATTTTACCGAGAGGCATAACTGCTTATAGGCGGTGACATGCAGCATTACCTGTTGCTGCAGTTACCATATATACAGTAATCCCTCGTTATAACAAAGTCAACAGAATGGAAAAATTTGATATAAGCGGTAATTCAATAAAAGCGACAGCCGAGAAAACAGTGACAGCAGCCTTGAAGGTGAACGGGAACACTGCAGTACACTCTAACCGTATATTTAATAAAAAAAACTTTCAGCCTTTCCACTCTGGTGAAAAAGGAAGACCAGCGAAGCTGTACTATGGTGGGACGACCTCAAGGACGACGCCTAGAGGATAACGTCTAGGACGACCTCGAGGACTACGTCTAGGACGACCTCAAAGACAACTTCTAGGATGACCTCAAGGATGACTTCTAGGACGACCACAAGGACGACGTCTAGGATGACTTCTAGGACGACCTCAAGGACGACGCCTAGAGAAATTCAGCCTTTCCACTCAGGAGAAAACCAGAGTGGAAAGGCTGGAAAGGCTGCCGACATACATGAGCGACGGCGGCAACCAGACGCGGGCAGAGAGCAGCGGGACGCAGGTCCTACTGCTCCATGCCCGCGTCCCCGCGTCAGAACATCGGCGTTGAAAGCAACACTCTGCCAGCTCTGCACGCTCTGCCCTCTATCAGCCGTATTAACTCCATTTTCCCAGTCTGTCGTTTGCTTCGGTAGAGAAGGAGGAGGGAACGTGTAGACCTCCGTGCTTTCGCCGTGCAGCCTTTGTAATAGGCGTGGTCGGCCGCCGATACACTTAGAATCACCCAGTTAAAGATGCGTGCATTTCGGTCGGGACCACGTCGAACTTCGATAAAAGCGATAATTCAAAAAAAGCGATTTCGTTATAACGAGGGATTACTGTAATTTGAAACATTGGGCTTGGTGTCCGAGAGATGAACTGTTGCAGTGGTGATTGTCTGTCATTTTGTGACTGTGAGGTGGTGGCTAGTTTACACAAACGGTCTTCAGAATGAGGCATTGTTCTGCTCTACTCTGGTAACCTTACAACATTCTTTATGAAACGTTGTCCCAGGTTTATTTCAATATACCAAATGAAGAAGTCCTCTATAAGACCATACGCGTAGCTGAGCAAAGAAGACTTACTTCTGGCATCTTGCAATAATTCCCAGTGTCCAGAATTCTTCCAAAAGTCGAGACCATAACTAAGATTCCGCATTTTCGGTTTCTATTTTTTTCAAAATTAGGCCTACTTTTTTCGGTGTTCATTTTAAAATCAAATTTTCGTGTTTTTTTTTACGTATATTTATGCGCACAAAAGATTATCGGCTTTATTCGGTGAATATAAAATAAACACAAATGGACACCAGATCAGATTATCCTTGTAGCTCCGATATTTGTGATCACTCAAAGAATATAGGCACAGGCACATTGAAAAAGAAATGGACACTTTATTTGGCTAATATGTGCAACTATAGACCATTCCATTTAGCGCTCTATGGGCGGCACCATTTTGTTCGACCGCAGCGCCCTCTCCATACATCCGGGAAATTCAGCGGGTTCAGCTGGGTAAAACGAGAGAGAGGGCACGCGCCCGGCTCCGCTAGCAGACGACAAACCGGGAGGTCGCCGTTCTCCATGTTTGAGTTGTACCGGCGGGCTGTACGGAACTTCGAACTCTCGCTCGTGGCTGCCGTTGTGAAGTGGTTCGCGTTCTTAGAATAGTTATGCCTACTCCAAAATCATCTTATAGCTCTCTGTTGCTCTATTTCTGTAAATGATCAACTAGCATATCTTTTTTCCGTTACTTAAATAGCAGTTGAGTCAGCCGGCAGCACTACCCTCAACTACTGCGTATATTGCGGCGGGAGAGCACGTTTTTATTTATCATTTCAGACTTCCACTCATGGTCGCTAAAGGCCTACACCAGTACGAACTTTGTATAGTAAAAAAGGTACAGCAACCGGATTTACTTTTCGCCAGAGAGACCGGCCAATCTGACGCAGTTTTCTCTATTTTTTTTTATTGGCACACAGGTAACAACGCAATTGGACCCTGTTAATCTTTTTATCTAGCATACTATTACACGACAACTGGTATACTAAAATCTGCGCATCTGCGCTCAAAAGTTCCAAAATGACACAATTTTTAACACAGTTCGCACGCCAGCCGGACGCTAGCTACAGCCCACTCGGGGGAGCAGACGACATTCGGGGTGAGAGGGGGAGTGCATTTTTTTTCTCTTTTACCCTCTCTGCTATGACCCTAATGGAACGGCCTATAAAAGAAACAAGAAAAAAAAAAAAAACACAGAAGCACATGAACCCTATGCCCAAAATCATGGAACTTCATCTTCTGTATATCAGGATTACCGTGATCTTATTATAGTACACACACACACATGTACTTTCCCATGTTCTCCTCGTTGATCTGAACTCTTTCTTTGCTGTTAATATGACACAGCTTCAAGAATGCCCTCTCAACGCTAACGCTGGACACTGGTAGGCTGAGGAGATGAAGCGCTGCCCGAGCCAAAATTGGCCAAACAATCAATTGTGACCGCCAAAAGAGACACGGTGCGACGTTTTGAAGCACAACACAACATGCAGAGCTTGCATCAAGTCAGTCTTCCTTACAACGAGTTTGAAAATGCACTCGTACATGGCGAAGTCTTGGGCATTTCGGACTTCACGTTCCGATCGATAATGCTCACATTAAACCAAATTGTTGCACGTTTCGACAGACACTGTCGTTCCATTTTTTCGCCACAGCTCTGCGGTACAACTGGAGGGTCAAAGTGACCTTTTCCGGTTAAAACTGAATTTTAGAAAATAAATTTGACGTACATTTGTCGGTTCAAATCGAAAATGCCGAACCTAAAAACTGACCTTTTTTGGTTAAAACCGAATTTCCGAAAATGGATTCGGCATACTTTTATCGGTTTAAACCGAAAAATCCAAACCCTAATCATAACTAACTTCGCTTCACATCAGTCACACAAGAACAAGGGACAGAAAAGCTATGCTTACCTCCAGGACGTAGGCGATGACGAAATGGCTCAGTGCAATGGCAGCGCATATACACCGAAATCCAATATCTGCGTCTGCGATGTCAAGCTGAAGAAAAAGAAAACACAGAGAAAGCATAAGTGCACTGTTGGCGTAGGGCCAACAGTACCAGGCACACCTAGAGCTTGCATGGAAAACACAGAGCCGCAGAACACGTCTACAAAAGGTCCTGCGAACAATTCCGGGAAAATGTATAAACATTGGAAACTATATTAAGATCCCACTGCGTCGCAAAAATTAGAACCCGCAAATTATTCCAAACCTTCAGCTTTTACCTAAATTGTGAAACAATGAGCCTGCGAAATATAAGTAATTTAATATCAACAACCACTGACAGAGTGCAGTGTAGAGAAATGAAAACTGCAGGAGGAAACAAGGGGGGGGGGGGGGGGGTCGGAACAGCTTTGAGCATGGGTGCAATCTAAACCACTGGTTTAGAACCTGTGGGGGCGACTGCCCCCACTGTGCCCCCGGTTCCAGAGCCCCTGGCTGGCTCCTTAGCAATGATGGTGACGTTGCTATAGAGCCACATGACCTGTCACAGCCAGTGGGATTTTAGGTACCGTTTTTCTGCTACATATCGCTTTAGACAAAGCCAACTTCGCTCCATAAGACAGTTAATGCTTTTGCATTAATAAAATTAAGGTGCACAAGGGTTTCAGGGTGCCCTCACCTCCAAGGCATTGACGAGGAAGTCCGCTGGATAAAGGATCAGGTAGAGGGTGAAGCTTGTCATGACAACTAGAGATCCCATGAAGAGGTCTGAGTGGGAGAAGAGGATACAGACAGTAAAAGAGATGCCAATGCTCCATACACTAGGAGCAGGAAACAAACACGCAAGTTTGTTCTAAGATAGCTACAGTATAGTTCAATACTGGTAGATGATATAATCTAAACCACCACTGTCTGTTGAGCAATATTTGAACCCTGTTTCTGCTGCTCCTTCCCATTCCTGGGTGTGAAAGAAAGAATCTAATTAACCTTTCCTCTTGCCACGTCCTACATAATATAACTTATTTAAGACTCATCATTCTTTGCAGCTCCCAACTTGCTTGAGAGAAAACAACTTTCTGTAAATCTGATTTTATTTATTTGCAAAACAAATTTGGCGTGTTACAAGTTTTTTTATTTTTTTTATTTAAAAGTTTTGATTACAGTAGAATCAGATTCACGAGTTCTCGGTTAACATGCTTTCCTGGCTGACACATTCATGAATGCCAGTCCCGTTGAACAACACCCACAAAGATATCCTTATTAAATTCCTGTTTGTTACATTTGCCCGCCTGACTGTTTTGCACAAAGGTGATCATGTGATATGGCCGGCACATCGCATTGGGCCGTCCTCTTCGTTTGGCTCTGCTCCCTTTCTTTTTTATCTCTTTTCCTCTCTGCACATTTCTTTTTGCCTGTTCTTGCCCGGTCGGGCATGACCTTGAACTACGCCTGGTACTGGAAGTGACCGAGCCTCTCAAAACTGCCTGTTCATCTTTCTGTCTATTGCTCTGCTTCTGTTGTGATTGGTGGCTTGGTTCTAGTCGTGCTAGCTTCATTTTGAGTGGAGTTCAGTGTTTGTAATTGTGTACTGCGCCACAGCGCACAATGAGCTCGTGGTGTGTGTGCGCCAAGCTTCACTGCTTGGCACCGATGCGCTAAGTGCAGCGGCTGAATCGGGGCAGCATCTTGGTTAGCTGGGGGGGGGGGGGGGGGCCTCGGAAATTTCACTCGCTTGTACAGGTCAACATTCTTCGGTTGCGATTACAGACTGACGCCCTCAAGTTGAAGTAAGAATTCTGAAATAAAAACAAAGTCGACGGCTATTTGAATAAATATGTTGGTTTCCCCTCAGCTGTGTGTCCATGTAACCTAAATTGTTGCATGAAGGTTGCTTCCTGCCCCATCTATTGGTCCCACAAAAGCGTTATCAGCTGTTGAGTTTTCCTCTATCACACAGGCTTTTATTGTAGTTCCCTGAAAAACATTAATGAGGTAGCCCGTGCAGTACGACCACTACCCCAGGATAGTGGTCGTACTGCTTGGGCTAAATAAACTGCTCTTATACAGCGCTAAACCAGCGTTGTCTATCTCAACAGCACATCTACTCAACCTCGTCCTGTATTGGTATTCACAAAGTATAATTAGTTTCTTTCTTCTTCGAACAACAAAGCTCAATTCAGGTAGGCAGTGAGAAAGGGGGTACCGAGACATGCTCACAATTGGACAGGATAGACTTGCGGTAGGGGCGGCCACGAGAGAAGATCACTGCCAGTGTGATGTACTGAAAGACAGACACTGCAAACACGGCGTAGTTGTCGTGGCACTGCAGCTCCTCCTCCTCGCGGTTGCTACTGTCGAAAGCCACATGCGGACGGTACCTGCGAGAGAAGGGAACTGTGGGAGATTTGGACACCGGTACCACTCGGAGCCGGACACCTTTCTGGCATTGACATGGATCTGCCTAACAATGTAAATCCTGTGCCTCCATGCCATTCCACTTTTGCTGCATGCTCACATCATGCAGCACCACTTTGCAACAGCACGTCTGTGATGAGTTTTATTGCTTCAAACCGGCGTTCTAGGAGCAGTGGATGTGGGGAGCATTTGGGTTAGGTCAATGGGCTCGCTAATTCCAGTCATTTTTAAAAGGTGACTGTTGTCACTCCTAGCTAAAACAAATTGTGCATAAAAAAAAAAATTAATTTCTATACATATCAAATTCAAATTCGGGGGTTTTACGTGCCAAACCGAAGAAGGGCATCTGGCACGCTCCAGCGGAGGAGTGATGATTAATTTCGACCACCCAAGGATCTTTTGACCTACAAATGAAATCTCGGTTGCACAGCACCTTCTCCACAATAAGCCTCCGTCGAATTGCGGACACCCTGGGTGAGATTTGAACCCACCATCCGAAGATCCATTGGCCGACGCTTTGCCTCCGAGCCACAGGCGCATTGAGAATGGTTTCCCCAAGTGGCAACGAATGATGTCGGAAAAGCCAGAGAGTCATGATGTCGGATGTCGCGATCCCGGCGGTTGGTCGTGTTAGTTCCGGCAAAAAAGAATGACCGAACGAGAGTGTCACCGTCGTCGCGGCATCCTAACACCTGGCTGCCGAAGCATCTGTGGGCTGTCAAGCTGGAGATTGACAAGCAGCAAAATGGGCGTCTACCACAGACACAACCGCCGCTCAACGCCGCCGGGGTCACGGCCAGCGACGGCATGAAACTTCTAGGACGCCGTCAGGCGGAAATTGTGGGACCGCCTTTTTGGACGCGGTAAACTTGCCGGCCGGACACGCGTGGCAAGCACTGTACCGAAGTGGGAAAGATGGGCACGCACCACTTCTGGCCCCAGAGGGTGACGAGGGCGAAGACCTGCGTGACGATGACTAGAACGATCTGACTGAGGATGGATGCCAGCGGGGTGATGCCCATCAGGCTGGACGGGGGCGGTCGCTTGTGCAGCACAGGGTGGGGCTCCGTCCGGCCAACTGGAAGATGACGGACCCGGTTACGAGACGCTCGGACGACGTTCGATGCCCGTGTGCTGCTACATTTCGACTGGCTGTTTTTAAAGTAAGTAATAATTTACTCCGGCAACGGCGGCGGCGGGAGCGGGGCAAAGTTACGCCGGGCGTTTGTGAAACAAACAATAGAAATGTGGCGAGTTTAAAGATTGCCTCTGGTAGTTTATTTGGCATGAGCATTGGCACTAATGTTGTGATCTGGTAATAACGTAGGGTGCTTTGTGCGATGTAGCCCACGATTATGAAGATTCATACACTGGATACCCTAACGATCCGCTGAATCACTTGAAATGCCGATACAATGTACAACCCTCAAAAATTGTGCTAGGTCTGTGAAAGATGGTATACGCATCCGATCCGCTGGATTTCAACAACTTTTCCTGCACCCTTCGAGCTCGCTCCAGAGACCCGTGGATATGTGGGACTCGAGCTACAACCTGAACTATGTTGCAACAAAAGCTGCTTTCCAATGAGACTATTCTCCGTTTCACTTTAAGTGCAAGCATAACAGAAGCCATGAGAGTGAGCTCGAGGCTTTCCGCACTCCTACAGAGACCGTGCGCCCTCCTACGGTGCAAGCATCATTTGGGACAACATGCTCATGCTGGTAGTTTTGGCTTACACATAAAGTTAAACAAACTACAAAACCTAACCCAGAGGAGGGCCAATTACAACTTGAGTCGCCAGTATTTTATAAAGCTAGACTTTCGATAAAAAATAAAAAATAAAAAAGTAAAAGCGTGGGTGACGCTATGTGACTCACAGAGAGCGGCAAAGAGGGTGATGAGGAAGAGGTCGATGTAGAGGAACTCGAGGTCGGTCAGGTTGCTATACAGTGAGTAGAGGATGAGCACCGACGTGAACTGGGTCATGCTGTAGCATGCCATGTACTTGAGGATTCCAAACGACGTCACCAGCGCTGCACGGCCCTCCCTTCAGGAAAGAACAGGGGGGACCAGACGTACAGTGAAGCACATCAGACGACAACCTTTCTCAAGTGGGCTTAGCAGTAAGGCATAACAGGCAAGGTCAAGAGGGCAAGGCAGCACTCATGTGTGCACTATGTCTAATCCTCTGATCTTCTTCACGCAGCTCCTAATCGCTCAGGCTGCTTTGGCCTGTCCGTTGTCGCGCCAGCATGACCCAGCGGACCGCTCCGTCACTGTGCCACTATCAAGTTTGAAGACTACTCAAGGACACGTCAGCGGCATCACCTTCCTCGCCGACAACGAGGACGACGGCAGAAACAAGCGCCTCGTCTTTGACGAAAGCACAAGATCGGCATCGACATCAACCGTGGCCTACGAAGCTACAAAAGGGCTGTCTGAACGGTTCGCCATCAGAGGGCAAGGCAGCACTCATGTGTGCACTATGTCTAATCCTCTGATCTTCTTCACGCAGCTCCTAATCGCTCAGGCTGCTTTGGCCTGTCCGTTGTCGCGCCAGCATGACCCAGCGGACCGCTCCGTCACTGTGCCACTATCAAGTTTGAAGACTACTCAAGGACACGTCAGCGGCATCACCTTCCTCGCCGACAACGAGGACGACGGCAGAAACAAGCGCCTCGTCTTTGACGAAAGCACAAGATCGGCATCGACATCAACCGTGGCCTACGAAGCTACAAAAGGGCTGTCTGAACGGTTCGCCATCAGAGGGCAAGGCAGCACTCATGTGTGCACTATGTCTAATCCTCTGATCTTCTTCACGCAGCTCCTAATCGCTCAGGCTGCTTTGGCCTGTCCGTTGTCGCGCCAGCATGACCCAGCGGACCGCTCCGTCACTGTGCCACTATCAAGTTTGAAGACTACTCAAGGACACGTCAGCGGCATCACCTTCCTCGCCGACAACGAGGACGACGGCAGAAACAAGCGCCTCGTCTTTGACGAAAGCACAAGATCGGCATCGACATCAACCGTGGCCTACGAAGCTACAAAAGGGCTGTCTGAACGGTTCGCCATCAGAGGGCAAGGCAGCACTCATGTGTGCACTATGTCTAATCCTCTGATCTTCTTCACGCAGGTGAGTAATTGTCACTCATTGCATTGTAAACGATCAAGCAATACTTTCCTTTTCCTGCTGCCTTGCCCCCGGATGTGCTTAACCTTATTTATTGAGTGCATTTGTGTCACTCGTGATTTATTGTTAAGCGGTGACATTGAATCGAATCCGGGACCTGATGACTGCCAAGGGGGTGGTAACCCTACAATGGAAGAGATGGTGAAGGCGATTCTGGACACACAAAACGTGATTATGAGAGATCTAAGTCAAATAAAAAATAACCAAAAGCAATTTGAACACAAATTTGAAGGTCTAACAAAAAAAGTAAATCAAATTGAAGCAACAGTTCAAGAAATGAAAGAACAAAAAGTTCAAATCATAAGCATTGAAAAACATGTTAAGGCAATCGATGAGGACTTGAAGGAATGCCAAAAAAAAATCGTCGACTTAGAAGATCGGAACCGCCGTAACAACCTCATGGTTTTTGGCCTCCCAGAGGCTCAAGGGGAAACAAATGACTCATTGCGGTCGAAAGTACTTGGTGATGTGTTTGAAGAAAAACTTGGAATTCATGTTAATACAGTCGAGCGTGTACATCGCGTGGGGCGAAAAACAAACAAAAACCGCCCAGTTGTAGTTAAATTTCTTGACTACGCAGAAAAGGAAAACGTGCTAAAAAAGCGAAGGTGTTTGAAAGGGACTAAAATAACGTTAGAACACGATTATTCTTGGCAGACTATTCAAAAGCGCAAACAGTTGTGGGAAACCAGTAAACCCAATCGCGATAACGGGGAAACTGTCTTCTTGATTCACGATAAAATTAAGATAGGAGGCCAAGTTTTCGAATGGGATGATAATGTGGGGCAAATATGCAAAGAAAGAAATCGACCAACTCGACAAAAAAGTGTAAAATGACGTCAAGCACACTCCGGGAAACCCCATCGAAAGACATTTCGACTTCTTTCCTTCAATGCGCAAAGTATTGTGAATAAAGTAGATGATTTGGAAACAATCTTGCTAACTCATGACCCCCACGTGATCGTCATCACGGAAACATGGCTTCACAGTGGTATTGGTGATAATGAAGTTATTCCGCCTTGTTACAGAATGATTAGGAAAGACCGAGGGTTAAGGGGCGGCGGCGTGGCTATTATCGCAAAAAGTTCGGTGGACCTGGTACCTTTAGATTGCGTTGTCAACGGGGAGGTGTTATGGTGTAAGGTTAAAGTTCACGGCAACGTGTTTGTTGTTGGTGCTGTATATAGGCCACCAAACACCGCCCCGAGGTTTTTAGAGGAATTGTATGATTACATGGCGTTGCGCTTCAATGACAAAACTAAAATTATTTTGACTGGAGACTTCAATCTTGCTGATATTGATTGGGCAAAGCAAAAACCAGGTAAAAATGAAATCGCGTCCTCCGAGCTTTTGTTAGATATAGCACTCAGTTTTAATCTTCAACAGTTAGTGGACAGCCCGACAAGAGTAACAGATACGAGCCAATCGATTCTGGACTTACTTTTTGTTAGCAACATAGTGGAAGCGGATAAAGCACATGTGCTCGACGGAGTGTCAGATCATAAAATGGTGTTTCTTGACTTAGAACTACATAAAACAGCTGCCGATAATGCTCGTCACGAACGTACTGTCAGAGATTTTCAAAATGCTGATGATGTGTCCATCCTCGATTATTTAGATGAACATTTTGACCATTTTAGTCAGTTAAGTGATGTTACCGAATTATGGAAAACATTTAAGAGTATTGTTTCCTACTGTACATATCACTTTGTTCCGACAAGGGGCGTGAGAGCACAACGACATCACCCATGGGTAACAAGAGAAATTTTGCAAATAAAGCGAAAGATCAAGCGCAAAAGGAAAGCAAAACAAAATTCCTCAGACATTGCAAATTTGGGGCGACAATTGAAGAATCTTATTTCCCAAGCTAGGGAAAATTACTGTGGCAATGTGCTCTCTCGTTTCTTGCTGGAATCTCCGCAAAAATTCTGGCGGTTTTTCTCGTCGAAAAAAGAAGTAATAACAGAAGTGATGGTAAGCGATGAGGTTGTATCATGTCCCATTAAAGTGGCAGAGGAATTTAACACGTATTTTCAGTCAGTCTTTACAGTCTCGAGTGACCCGCCGGTAGACCACGTCAGCAGCTCTGATGAACCTTGTATGTCAGATTTGGTTGTCTCGGAAAGTGGTATACTTAATTTGCTTTTGAATATTGATGTAAAAAAGGCGTCGGGGCCAGACGACATTTCAAATGCATTTCTGAAAAGATATGCTGAGTGGGTGTCCCGATATCTTTTCATAATATTTCAAGCCTCTCTCCAACAATCCAAATTGCCAGCAGACTGGTTGTGTGGTAAAATTATACCCATTCACAAATCTGGAAACAAAATGACAGTCCAAAATTACCGTCCTATATCATTAACGTCGACTTGCTGCAAACTGCTGGAACACATTATTTCAAATCATGTCACTCAGTACTTAGAAGAAAAAAACTTAATATACAAACATCAGCACGGTTTTAGACGGGGTCTATCGACGGTCACACAATTAATTGAGTGTGCGCATGAGTTCTCATCTGTTGTAAATGAGCGGGGTCAGGTTGACGTCGTGTTCATGGATTTTTCAAAAGCGTTCGACCGCGTGCCTCATAACAAATTAATTGAAAAGCTTCACCTTGTGGGTCTCAACAGCAATATAGTGTCGTGGGTCCGGTCTTACCTAACTAACAGAACACAGTATGTCTACTGCAATGATGCATGCTCTACCCGCCTTGCAGTGTTTTCAGGTGTGCCACAAGGGTCGGTATTAGGTCCACTTTTGTTTTTACTGTATATAAATGATATTGCAGATGATATGCCGCCAGCTGTCCAGGTAAAGCTATTTGCGGATGACTGCATGTTGTTTTCAAAAGTGCGTACAGTCGAAGACCAAGACTTGCTTAATGCCTCTCTAGAAAAACTTTACTTGTGGTGTGAAAGGTGGGGTATGGTAATTAACTTTGATAAAACAGTATTCTGCAGCATTACAAACAAACGAAACATTTTAGAATATTCCTATAACATAGGTGGCGTGCAACTGCGAAAGGTGGACGAATTTAAATATTTAGGTGTTATTTTTAGTTCTACCATGCGATGGAACAGTCATGTAGATTACGTTTGTTCAAAGGCCTACAAAAAGTTATTATTCCTCAGAAGACAACTTAGGCATGCCAATAGTGATGTTCGACAACTTGCGTACATGTGTTATGTTCGCCCATTGTTAGAATATGCATGCACTGTATGGGACCCGTATAGAAAATGCCACGAATCACAAATTGAAAGAATACAAAATCTGGCTCTTCGATTTATCTTCTCCAGATATAAACGTACAGAATCTGTTTCTTCAATGAGACAAGAGGCGCAGCTTGACTCGCTGGCAAAGCGACGGAAAATATCAAGGTTAAAAGAACTCTTTTCCATAACGACTGGAATGACAAAGCTAGATCCGCAGCTTTACTTGCGGCCTTCAACGTCTCGTTCCCAAAGGACTAGCAACGTCAGGGCGATTGCTCCGTATCAATACAAAAATGATGTATTTAAGTATTCTTTCTTTTGTAGGACAATAGTAGAGTGGAACGCTCTGCCAAACGAAGTCGTCAGCTGCTCTAATCTCAAGTCTTTTGAATTATCATTGCGCGAATTTTTAACTGAATAATGTATGTGTGCGGAATACATCTTCAGATGTGCAGGGTGTGACGCACCACTGCATGTGCATAAGTGCTCACTTGAGTGTGAATGCATTTTGCTTGGCTTGTACAACTTATTTTTCTCTCCTGTGTTGACCGTAAGGTTCACAGTATTGTAAATAAATAAATAAATAAATCTACGAATGCCCACTCAAACAACTGCTCATCCCATTTTTGCAGCTAAATGTCCACAAGGTAAACATATTGAAGCATTGCCCATGTCCATCAATTTCATGGCTGCCAAGCTACCGGTAAAAGAGAATGTGCTGCGGTTCCAAATGGTACATGTGAAGAAAATGCTGGTTGTGGTTTCTTAAGTGCACTTCATTTTTGCTGCAATTGCATCACAGCAAAAGATGTAAGCATACATGAAACATTGAACTCCTACAATCGAGTTCCCAGATTTCTTTTTTCCCCCATTCATACATCAATCTTTCACATATAAATCAGGATATCTAAGAAGCAGTTTTGGAAATTCTAAAGAAGACCTGGCGTTGGTTCGTAACTGGTTTTAGAGGTACCGGCGTTGTCGTATCTCCTCTGCTGCCAACCATCTTCTCTACCATCGCTTTCAGCGATGCGTGCCAGCAAATGTTAGCTAACACCTTACCTGCTCAATGTTTGCCAACAATACGCCGGAAAATTTTAAAATTTAAGTCCCCTGGAATTTTTGTTAGGTAGCAGCACAACAATGCTGTCATAGATGACAGCAAAATAAGAAAGAGAATGATGGGAAGTATATAACGGTGACAACTATACAAGCAGGCAGGACCACACACAATTGTACAGACGGAACCTGGGTCCTACCACCTAACCCACCTTAAGAAGAGGCATAGGAAGCAGGATCGTTCAATGCATGGAGCATTCCTTACTTGATGAGTGTGGGGACGCAGGAAATGTTGGCCACCTTGGAGGTAAACGGAGAGGCTACTGACGCCTCTGTCTCGGACAGCGAGATGCCAGCGTGTGCTGCTTTCAGAGCCTGTTACGAAACATTAATTGAATGCTAAGCAACAGTGCTGAGAGAAAGAGCAACATAAAGGAAATAGCTAGTTTATGAGGTGTCACATGTGAGGAACAAAACAATGATGCTGTTACTTACGCCACAGTCATTTGCTCCATCACCGCACATCCCAACGTAGTACCTGCAAGGAGAGGTGCAAAAGTGACCTCTAGCACAGTCTTGTTACACATTAAAATGAGATCTTGTCAACTGCAATAACTTGTACAACAATGGTCATGCCATATAAATTTGGTCAAAGACTTCTCAATGACCCGTGCTACCATTGTGAGAGCAAACCACCCGCCTTGCACTCTTCTAGCCTTAAAAATTAGAATTTTGCGTGAACTATCGTATAAATGCGAGAAAGGCCGCCCTTTTCTTGTTTTTAAATTTTGGGGCTAATTTTTTATGTGAGGCCCATACATGGGTAAAAAAAATAATTTTGGATGTGCATATAAAAATGCATGTACCAAATTTACTCGCATAATGAACACAGTTGCATAATAAACGCACCCCCCACAACAGGTATCAATATTTTTTTTTTTTTTTTGTTTTTTTCCCTTTGCATAATAAACGCATTTCCAATTTTCGGCTCCGTGAGTCTCGAATTGCGTTCAATTTAGCTAGCCACCAAGCCAATTTTCTTTTTCCGCCAGGCAGTCAGGCGAAGTCAAGCCAGGTCAAGCCGCTCTCATAAGGGCTGAAAATGGGTAGTTGCGCAAGTGATCAACCGTCAAATCGAGCGGCACGCACACTTGACGAAGCTTGGGTCCAGGAACTGCCCAGCCTTGGGTATTCTTTGCCTATCGCATGCGTTGATATCAACAAACACACAGTCGTTTAAACAGTGAAATCGTGAAAGTGGTTAGGCCTAAGAACAGTCGTGTTGTTCTCCGTGCTCAACTGAGTGAGCTTCGTAGGGTGCTTTTCCTTTGGCAAAAGGCACGCCGAAAGCGCCCTAAAAAGGTTTTTAATTTTTAAAGCATGGTTACTGTAGCATGCCCCCGACCAACCATGGGTGCGCCTTCATCAGTGGAGACGTGCCACAGTACCTTGCCATGTCACATTGGCGCCTAATATGACCTTTGCACGAAGAGTGTAAATGCAAAAATTTTACCCTGCAGAATGAACACACCCGAAAAAATAGGTCAATATTTTGGAAACAAAAGTGTGTTCATTATGCGATTAAGTATGGTACTTGCGATCGCAAGCGGTGGTCTCTAGCGCCTTTATTTCAATCTTGATTGTTGTAACCTGCGGTATCCTCGGTGCTCTAGTTTGACTGTTGCCAAGTGTGGTCAGGGTTGTCCTTTTGGGTCATTCAGTGAGTGCCTTTTTAAGGTTCGCATTAGCCATTTCTTCTATAGAATTTCACTTAGACGAAGCCGATCTTGGACCGCATGCTCTTCTAGCACCTTATGCAGATCTCGTCGATACCGTATCTGCGACCTGTTGTACGTGTGTGGCACTCCAAGGCTTAAGTGACAGCTCAAAAGTACTTGCCCACTGCTCCCATGTTTGCAGAGCTCGCATAAACCAACTTAGAACATAACATTCACAATGGTCAACGGCGACGTTTTGAAACTCAAGTGTCCGATCTCGCAGCAGATATTGTCACATGCGCGGAAGGTGACCGTAGATGATACAAACCCCCCCCCCCCCCCCGAAAAAAAATAAAAAGTTGGCTTTCCAAAGCTTTGCTTTCCTTATCCCTCTCATCTGAGCTTTAAAGGGATACTACAACGAAATTTCGGCGCTCATTTTTTGGTATATGTATGTGTGTTCAAAAAAGCAGCATCACACTGAACATACCAATATCTCGTTAAAAAAGTCACGAAAAGGAATTTTAAAACGAATTAAACGATTAGCAAAGAGCACCTGGTGGATGTCGCTAACGCCTCGTTTGTAATGCCCGTCTAGGAACCTTGGCAGCTAGTGACGGAGGTTGTCTCGTCTCCGGCCACGACGAGAGAAGAGGGGCAGGAGGAACTCCCCTCTTCCCGAGAACGCCTTTTGTGTGTCGCAGAAGTCGCTATTGTCCCCCTACAAGATTATAGAAGATTAACCCATCACTCAAAATACGTACAAAAGCAGCCGCTTCGGTGGCTGGAACGACCAGGCCATCCTCTCGACATCAGCCTCGCCGTAGCTTCGCTCGTCTTGAGACGACCTACGTCACGACTGCGTTGGATGTCACGTGGTCTCCGCTGGGCCTTCTCCGAGCGCTTGCCAGAGTGGGCCGTTTATAACGAAAAATACAGCCACCAGGCTCAAAATACAAACGTGCCATTGTCATTTACGGATATTGTGGATCATATTCAACCTATTTCTGAGCACGACGGGAATATTTCAAATTTCGTTGAAGTATCCCTTTAAAGGAATTGTCTGGTTGAAACCGGAAGTACTTCAGTTTTTGCGCTCCCTACATCGAGGGAGCAATCAGAGACAAAAGTCATTTTGGACTGTTTGCAATTAGGAGTGCTTGCAAGGCAAAGGATGCAGATTTTGCCTCTGGAGCGGCACTTAGGTACACGAAGCGGCATCTGGGTACACATATCAACGGATCCGCTGGATCGGTGACGAGGCTGCGGGTCGTTCCCTCGGAGGCGACGTCTGCGGGTTGAGGGCAAATGGCGAATCGTTCAAATGCATGTCGTCACTTGTGGGAGCCACTGGTTTCCCTCCCCCGAGAAGGCGTAAGCCGAGGACGTTCCGGGCGAAGCCGTCCAACTTCGAGCCCGGTCGCTCCAGATCGTGTTGGAGAGACTACGCCACCATGCTGGCTTACTCTCTCGCACTCCTCCGCGCGTCTCCCCGATTTCGGGGGAACAGCGAGATCGCGCGAGGGAGAGGCGGGCCTGCCCTCCGAGTGGACGGCCGTGTGGTCGAGGAGTCCTGGATTGGACTCCGGGCAACGGGTCGAGTTGCGGCGCAAGCTCGTCCGACCGGCGATGACTCCACGCTAGCGATTCCCCTGGCTCCGACAGTCGGCGTCCCCACAACCTGTGGACGTCCGTCTGCCGAGAGCCCTGGCCCCGAACTCCTGCGACGACGGGTAGCGGCGTGAGCTTGTCCGACCGGCGATGACTCCGCTCGCAATTACCCCTTTGGCTCTCAGGTCGGCGGGCGATGCGGGCACACTGTGTCCGCGGCTCGCTTGACCGCAGTGTCTTGTTGGGGACTCCTGGTACTCAATAAATGCTGCTGGATACCGGGACCATCGTTGTTGGCATGGCGTTGGCCGAACCCGGCGCGGCGACCACCCTCGCTATTAGCCGTCAGCCGTGCGGTGGGACGGGAACCGGATTCCCCTTTGAGCACCGGACCGGTCCCCAGACGTAAAGGTGCGTAATCCTCCCTCCATTTATTCCCACACATTAGACTTGGACGAGCTTGGTGAATCGTAGCCACACTCCAGTTTCACACGCGGGTCAAACAGAATCTGGCTGCACACGTGCTAAATACTACTTTTGGCATTGTTTCCAGATGGCCTAGCTGTTGGTTTCGGTTTCGCTGAACAATCAAACCGATTGATCCGATTTGGGCGAGGAGGGGGTGGACGTAGTTGAATATTGTTGGAACAGCATCAGACCTCAGCTAACGAGCCTTTTGTCCGCTTAGAGCTCAGCTCGTAGCTCTCTTCTGCGAGATGACTGCTGCATAAGCGGGATCTCGATCTTGACGGGACACCGGTCCCCACGCACGGCGACGATCCCTTTTGCTCGTCTTTGCAAGTCTCGCAGAAAAGTGTGGAACGTCACGTCTTGGCTCGCATGTGCTGCTCGGTGGTTGTGGCACCCAACCGCGCAACAAAAATCTCACCCATTCACGAAACAAGTTGAGCGCAACAACAAAAACAAAGCACGCTGCGGCGTACACTTGCAGGCAAACGACGAGATGAAAATGCTCGCTTTGTGTCGTGCGACGTCAGAGCTTCAATGTTGCCAACAAAAGTAGTGTTTACGCTAGGATGCGATTGGAGCAGTATAAATTCAATCACTCGTGCAGAAGGACGTATAAAATTCAGATATTGTACCTACGATGCATCTCGAAACAATAACAATAATATTCAATTGTTTTCCCGAATACAACTTGACAGTACAATCCCTTTAAAACACTGCAAAAAGTGCGAACAAGGGTGCATACATGGCAAGGTAAAGATGACGGAGACACAGAGCATGTGCCACTCTGCGGAAACGGTTGGTGTGCCTTAGGACGAGGGGGGTGCAACTCAGAGCCTTTTATACTGGGAGAGTTCGGCGGTTCTTTGATCCAGCCGCCAGTCTGGCAGCACTGATCAAACAGTCTGGCAACTGTGCGCATCCGCCACGATGTGCCTTGCCGTCTAGCTTGATTGCACCTTTGCATTTAATTGCATTATAATTATAACCTTAAATTGCAAGCTTCACCCTTGTTTGGTGTAAGGCTGATGGCGGCTGATAAAACCCGTTTGCGCTACTGACTCGAGCCGGCAGTCAGCTCGCTAGAGTCGACGATGAAAATGATCGTTCTGCGCTGCGCTCTGCCAGACGTTAGATGAAAAAGAAATGGGGGGCTGCAGTGCCGTTGGGTGCTCGAACAACGCGAAAAAGGGGTTCAGGATGTACCGGTTCCCGCAAGGAAAAGAAAACCGCGCAAGGCACAAGATCTGGGAAACCAAGAAGGGCTGACTGGAAGCCGAGTTCTCGATAGTGCGAGGTAAGTTTATGATTAACGTATGATTAACGTAACAAAATGCTTGATTTTTCGACTTTCTCCTCACGCCAACAAAAGCGTAAACGGCAAAACCTACACGCGTATACATCGCATGTCAATGGGGAACCACTTGCCGGGAGGCACATCATGGCGGAAGCGGCGCCCGCTGAGTCCGCTAGACCTAGCGGGCCGTAAGCCCCTCCCACCCGCCGAACTCTCCCAGTATAAAAGGCTCTGGTGCAACTAATACACAAATAATTTTAAAATCATTCTTTTTATATATATTTTTTTTTAACATGGGGGGTACAGCCCTTACACGAGTGCGGCCCACACACGCAATTATACGGTATTTACTCACTCTCAAGTTTTATCTAGTAAAACAGATTTTCTTTCAAACACTTCTTAGACACATAACAGAGTTGCCATGTGACAACAGAGTGCTGTGGTTGCATGGAAAACCTGTGCATCATCTGGTGGCATCTTTACAAATGTTTCTACAACTGCTACGAAACACCAGTAGACTACATAGATGTATTCCTTGACACAAGAAAGTCACACCAAATAAAGTGGGAGACGGTGTGCCAAACAGAACCGCACTGTGCCATTGGCTACTGACACCCCTTGTCGAAACAGGGCATGCAACGGGAACAACAAAACAATCTGGAAAAATGTTTGACACACAGTCTCCCGACCGAAGCTGAGAACAATGAGAGCGGCCGTGAGGCACTGTGAACACGCACCCCATTTCCTGAAGAAGCTCGATGAGCTGCTGCTTCTGGTCTGGTGCCATGCGGGCAAACACCGTGCCACACACCGCCACCTGGAGTAGGACAACCACAAGCACGCTGTTTAGTCTCCCGGCTTACGACAAAATTAGTAATGTATATAAAAAGGAAATAATTCAAACGTTGCTTTTCTCTCGTGGATACTAAAAACCCCAATTTTCGGAAATGACTGCGTGAAACTGTGTACCAGCAGGATCAACTTGAACAGGAAGAGATTAAATGCAGGGACAAACTTGACTTAAACATGCAGCGTAATCATGAGCCAGGCCGAGTTCGGAAGAATTCAGCCGAGAGGAGGAGGAAGAAAGTCAGAAAAATGTGTTGTCGTATCTGCCTCTGCATTTAGTCCTTTTTCTGGTAAACTTAATTACAACTAATGTGCTCATTTCAAGACTAACATTGTATCAACGGAAGCCCTTCCCATGAGGCAAGGGTCTAGTGCTTTTGGATAAACCTGAAAAAATCCGAACAACACTTGCAGGTAAATTATCCGTCCCAATTCGGATTTTTCCAAAATAACTTGAAATGTCAAGGTCACAATGACAAAATAAAAATTTTTTCTTTTACAAATAAACTTTACAAGAGCACAAGGTCAGTAGTCCTGATGAGATGCCACTACAGTTTCATTTGAAATCTCGAACTACTGACAAAAGGGGTTAGCCTTTTAGGTCGCCACGGTTCCTTCAGCACGACGGGTCATGGTACCCATACTTTATTTTGCTTTTGAATTTTTAAAAATTGGGAACACAGAAAAGTAAATTCCGAATATCAGAGAGGAATCCAACAGAAATAAACTCCAATAAACACTGAGCTTTCAGCGAAAAATAAATTCAGAAATACACCTTTTGAATTTCACGAAAAATAAACTCTGAAAATACGGTATCCTACCGTATTTACTCGAGTAATAGCTGCACTGTTTATGAAGAAAACCTGAGGGTTCACTTTTCCACAGAGCACACGGATCGCCAATCACCACGATCGACAACGTGACTCCAGCGGTTTACAGGACAGAGATAACGTCTTCGAACGAAGATACCACCTGTGAAGATTGCATTTGTTTGAAGAATCATGCTCTCGATCTAATTATTTGCTATGTTATTTATGCGCAACGCGATGATTGGCTGTATATGTGCTCTGCGGGAAAGTAGAAGCAAAGGCCTTGTTCATAAATAGTGCGGCTATTACTCGAGTAAATATGGTACTTATATTCTTCAGTGCTCTGCACGAGTTTGCACAGTAAAGCGCGAAACACATGTACGACGAAACCTTCCGATCCGACATGTGGACTGCCGGAATGACCTTGGGGGGCGAGGGTTTTCGTAGCATCGCAGAGCGTTGAAAACCCTCGCCTCCGACCGTCGTATTGCGTGGTCAGACGTCGGATCGGACGGTTTCGTCTTACATGTGTTTCGAGCTTGATTACAGTCACATCCTGCAGCAGGTGCACCAAGAATATGCATGACCTCCTCTGAGCACGTCGCCAGAGTGGAGGCTGACTGGGATGTAGCAAGAGCTTTGGACAATTCTATGTTGTCCTGATGAGAAGGAAACGCAACGAGGTAGCCCCATCGAATTGGTACACTTTGACCACAAACATTTCCTCTCCTCAGAACGAAGTTGAATTGGCCAAAACCCTGATGCGTGCTCCAAGCGAACCTTTTAGAGTTTCGGAAAGCGTAGCTAGCACGAGCAAAAGCAAACACGCAGAAAGAAAAAAAACAGTTCCGAGTAAAAAAACGACTCACCCGTCGCAGAATGTCCGGGTAGTGTTCCCGAAGCACGGCAAACGTTTTTCCGGTGATGGCAACATGGGGGTGGTTGGGTTTTATGGAAATGACTGTTACTCCCTGAAAGAAAATTAACAATCACAATATTAGGGAGTTTTAGAATAACATACGCAATTTTAGCGCACGCTACTGCTAAATTTAGCGCTTGCGTTAGCGCATGCTACATAAGAGAGTTTTAGAATAGTGTTTCTCCGCCGCGACCGCTGGCCGCGACGCAAAAGCCCAAGCATCTTGCGCTTGCAACGCCGCCAAGATAGTCGCAATTTTAGGGGTGAAGCTTCTTACGGTCTAGCCTTGCCCGTCCAGCGTCCGTGTTCACATCGATCTTGCTGGTACTTGTGATCGTGCTCGTGAGCTCACGTGCTCATGTGCTCACAAGCACGTGAGCATGGGCTTACGTGCTTGTGTAAACAAGAAATGATGAAAAAAAAAAAAATGACTGCATCTCCACGTGGTGAATGATGTTGATTGGGGCGAAGCTCTGGTGGTGCTTGTCTGCGTAGACGCTGAGCCAGAGCATGCCGAGCCTTTCGTTCGTTTTCATCCATGACAGAAAGAGAATGTGTGGTATGGAACGTGGTTATATACGCATTTGAGCATTTAACGCAGGGCCCTCTCGTCTATAAACGTTGAGCCAATGCATGCAAAGTTTATTGTGATTATATACACATTTGACCGCAGCGCCCTCTCCTGTATAAACGTTGAGCGGCTACATGCAACGTTTCATCCATGAAATCCCCAGCTCTTGAGTTACTACCACATCTCAGAGCCCCCTACTCGTCCCGCAGTCGTGGCCGAGTGGTTAAGGCAATGGACTAGAAATCCATTGGGGTCTCCCTGCACAGGTTCGAATCCTGTCAACTGCGCAAACATTTTTTCTTTTTATGTGAGCACGGACGCCGGCCGGACGAACGGACAAGGCTAGACCCTAAGGAGCTTCACCCCTAATAAAATGAAGTGGCCTTTTTTAAGGATTGTTAATCCCGTGCTCCACGCACTTTATTAATAAAATACCATCTTTACTGATTTTTATTTTGCTATGGTGACCTCAAAACTCGGAAGTTTTGCAAATAAATCTTAATTTACAAAAATGTTACCAGCAACTGTGTAACCCTACTGATGTAGTAACATTAGAACCGCTATGTTCTCCTCGTTAAAAGTAACACCGCTATGTTCTTTTCGTTAGAAAAAAGAAATGTCCACAGGAAATTAGAAAACTCAACCAGGCTCAACAAGCGAGCGAGTGGGCGGACAAAAGAAGTGACAAAGAGCGATGCTGGGCAAGTGGGAAAGCGACTCGGGGATGGGCAATGACTCGAAATATTACAGTATTCGAATATTCGCACACGCTTACTATGTATGATTTTGTATGCTACGTATGCTTATGCGTTGCCTGCTAGGGCTATGCATGCTTTATGTTGCCCCGACCTGCATGTAACGGCTTTTCGTTACACTAGAACATAAAGCTTGTAACGAGAAATCCAGTCCATAAACACATCTTGTGTTAAAATGTATGTTCTGAGCCGCCTCAATTCCCTGTGTGCCACACCACTGCGCTCAGCGGAGCAAATAACTTCGAAGGCAGTGGGTTTCGCCGACTCACGGGGGGCGTCAAGAGGCTGTCAAAGGAGCCCTTGGAGCGAGGAGCCTCTGAAGACTGCCAGCTGAGCACGGGGATCGAGTCGGTTGAGTCTGTGCTCGAAGACAGAATGAGCACCTCCTGGTCCCGCTCTATCATCTCGCAGTCGCGTGCAACGCTCACCGCCGTCAGCATGTTGTCCCCTGCAGAGAACGGGGGACGTCACCGAGAGAAGCTGACTTTGTCCAGCCGATTTCCAGCTAAGTTTGCAGAGAACTTCTTTCAGATCATTCATAACTTGTTTGTGCAGAGTTTAAGGATCCTGGTAGTCACTGCATATTTGCATAAAATTTTGTCCACATTTTCGAAATAGTGGATCAGAAAAGTATGAAAAGCGAAGTTCAGGATTCAAAAGACCTAGCTAAAATATGTGCTTGTTGTTGCGCGAAGAGGACTTAATGGACTCCCAGGAAATAGCCTACACAAAATCTTGCATAGCTAATTTTCGGTTTATAGAGAAAACAACAGTTTTAGATCAAACTCGTTGGCCAAAGGTAAATGCAGCACCTTCCCCCTCCACCCTTTTATCATGCTCCTTGCCGCCAGATGAAAGGAAGAAAAATCTCTCAGAATATTGAGGGGTGCTAAAAAGGTAACATCACAAAAAGAAAACCAGAAATAAGAGTTGAAAAAACTGTTCCAGGGTAATATTAGGTTTCTTGCTGAACTTAAGGGGAGGCACTCCCTTGGAGGGTCTACTTTTTAAGTATTTGTGCCAGGTCAATGAAATTTTTAGGGTATGTTAAACATCAAAACTTAGGAGGCTACACCAACTTTCAACCCAAAAGGTTTATTTTTTGACAAGTTACAGCCTTATTCGTTGAAAAAAATGTACACGTAGCAGTGCCAAAGGAAAAAAACTATCGTTTCAAAATATGAATAAAAAGGCACAATTTCTTTGTTGGGATATAACGCTGAATGACTAAAATAATCGGTAGTAGGCTTGAAATAATTTTTAAGGCCATATTTCACGTAAAAATTAACTTCCAATAATGGTATGAATTTTTAATTTTTTTCTTGTTTCACGAACGTCAACATTTTTGTGTGAAGAAATAACAATTCGCAAAAAGTAAGCACATAGCCGAGTTCTCCAGTAAATTTCATGCCAAAAAAGCCATACATTAGACTTGGGGGCGCTTAACTCATCGAACGATAGTTTTAGAGCTGTGAAAAAATGGTGAAAACATGAAGCTGAGAAAAACGGGTTTGAAAGTTCGAACAGTATTTTAGTTTAGATGGGGCTTGCCATTTCATCTAAAATGCTCCAGGAGCATATGTCACTCCTTCCTCTGCACGGTCCCTCTGTGCCTTGGCCACAGCTTCCATCTTCCTTTTTTTGTGGGACATCTTGGAGGACACGAGCGCTTTCACTTGGGCCTTCACAACCTTCATCTTGGTGGCCCTCTCTCCTTATGACGCTTGGTAGCTCCCTGGCTGTATGCCCATTTCCAACAGAGCTTCCTGATTCGCTAGGACGAGCCACGTGACGTGGCTCGTCCTAGCGAATCAGAGCTCTTGTTTCGCCAGCTTGACCAATAAGAGCGTGCACAGCTATGTTTTCTACGGGGTTTCACAGTCTGCGAGCACGATATCGCGAACAATGCTGTGAACAGAACGAAAGAGGGCGAGACGCTCATTCCAACAAGGGGGGCCTGTCCATGCTAGTCCTAAGAAACGCAGAGGAAGCGCGCTTTGAAAATGGCACATTTTCGTAATCGGCCGCGTCGTTGGCGCGCACGTGCAGCCGCCAGCACTTCGAAAATAATTTATTTCGGAGTAAATACTTTACTTACAGGAATAAAGTTTTTGGGCAGCATTCTTTATGAGCTGTAAAAGCTGGTCAGCCTATTTTCCAAAAATGTGACTTTTTTGAAAAAATCGCGATTCCTAGGCCGTGCCTCCCCTTAAAATGCAAAAGGGCCATCCACAACATATATAAACGTGATTGGGGCACTAGAGTGGATTTTGAGATCTTCTTTTTATGGCACGAATGCAATCCATTGGGGGGGGGGGGGGGGGGGGGGGGGGGGGCACCCTAACCAACCTAGGAAACCCAAAATTATCATCACGCGTGAACTTTCTAACCTCTGAAAACGCTACCAAACATCGTGACACGTCCCTTTTCTTATATATCTCGGTGAAAGGGCATGTTGCGGTGTTTGGTCTTGTTTAGAATAGAGGAGAGAAAGCCATGCATGGTTGTAATTTTGTTTTCTTTTATGAGTCTGAGTCACAAAAAAGAGGATCTCGAAATTCACTTTAGCGCCCTTTTAAGAGTGCAGGACAAGCACCTCCCCACAAAGCCCTCCCTTCTTGCCACTTTAACAGAACAAACAGTGGAAAAGATGCAAGTCCCTCCTCACCTCCTCTCCAGCACTCGTTCTGTAAAGTGGAAAGAGTGAAGGGCTTTGTGGGAGAAACTACTTCTGCACTCTTAACCTGTCACCGTCTATAGAAATACTTCACAATCCCGCAGGTTGCCCCAAACTCGCTGGAGCTGCCCACTACGCTTCCAAAACACATCTTACTGCACCAAACCCCAGACCGACAGGCAGGGAAACGAAGGCACCACAGTTGGCTGCTCCCAGCACAACTGGCGACCACGAGGAGTAACTCTCCCAAGCAGCACCTGCCACCGAACGGTTAGAAAAGAGCACAGTGTCACGGTTTGCTACAATACAGCGACACTTCGGTTCGAGATCAAGCTTAATGAATGAAACCATATGACTCACTAGCTGCAAGGATTCCGCGCTGAATTCAGACACACAAGTTGAGGATATGCAGGAAGTCCTTTCCACACTCATTACCACCAGGCAAACTTCCTCCGTGATGCACTAACAGTCCCCGCCGAGGCAAACGGTGTGCCAACGTTGCGTAACTCATTTTGGTTACCGCCTTTCCTAGTTAGTCTGCGCAGCCTCCGTGATGGACTAACAGTCCCCGCCGAGGCAAACGGTGTGCCAACGTCGCGTAACTCATTTTGGTTACCGCCTTTCCTAGTTAGTCAGCGCAGCAATCCCATACCGCGGCTGCTACGAGGCAGTGTTGATGCGATGCATTCTTAAATTGTCTGTCCAGCCAAGCTTTTTGCTACGAACAAACTCGCCTTGGAACCGCCTGACTGAAGGGGAAAAGCCACAATATCACATCCCCATCACCATCATCAGCATTGCTACAATGCCTGGAACAAACTTTCAACCCATGTGTTTAGCGTTCTATACCACCAAAGCATTAAAGGTGGCCCGGAAATGGAACCGAATTGAGTCGCACGAGTCGGCGTGTCGTGCAGTCAGATGTCACGATCTCGGCGGTTGGTCGTAGAAACGTTGGCGAAAAAGGCAAGTGGATGAGAGGTTCGCCATCGTTGCAGCATCCTAATTCGTGTCTGCTTTGATTTTCATCAACTGCCTCACCGCCCACATGGCCCCTCTAGTGAATCAGATGACCCACCGGTGACCATGACGGCCCGCACGTCGGCCCTCCGCAGGGTGCGGATGACGGCCGTGGTCTCGGGCTTGAGCCGGTTCTCCATGACCAGGAGCCCGACAAAGGTGAGACCGCACTCGAGCTCCTCCCGGGGCAGCCGGTGCACCTTGGCAAGGCCAGCCGTCAGGGGCCGGTGGGCCAGGGCCAGCACCCGGTGGCCTTGCTGCGTGTACCATGTCAATGTGGCCCCGAAGTCTGGAGGCACTGCGTTCCAGAAGGAGGGTGCAGAAACATCCGAGTCATTGCGTGTTCTCTTCGGAGCAGTCCACAAGCGGGGTAGGACATTTTCGGGTTTTAAAGTCCGCTTCTGAAAAATCAGGGAGCAATCGCGCTTTTCTTTGCACAACCACAGTGGCACTGAGCATGACATTTCATGTGCCTAGACTCTAGCAAAGATCAGGTTTTCAGGAACAGGCACGTTCTAGGAACTATTGACGTAATAACTGGCAACCATCAGGTGTACACGTGAAGGTGCCATTGTTTGTAGTACTAATAAAAAAAAAAAGCATGCATGACCCACATATCTACCTGTACGTTCAGGCCAAGCTCACGGCCGGCCCGAAAGTACAAAGAGACAGAGCCAGATAAAGGAGTAGGGGCTACCGACCTCTCGAGTCATGTGTGCCTCTTTTATTAGTACAAACGGTGGCACCCTCATGTGTATGTGTGACTGTTGCCAGCTATCTCAATCATTCGCCAGGTTCCCTCCACAAATCCCAATGGCTCCTGCAATGCTTTGCTCAAGTTTCTCTATGTTTCCCCCAACTTATCCGAGTCAACCAAGTGCTCGGGCAATTCCAAATTCCCCACGTCAGTAGGCACCACGTGCAAGACAATTTGTCGCGCAGGAATGAGTGCAGTACAAATAATTTGGTTCAGTCGTCCCAATTGTGCTCTGCATTTGCTCGTTTAGACCTCAATCTGTGAGAAAAGTGCTGGAACATTCCAAACTAGGAGATTATGAGGCAAAGAAGAGAAGTGCATCCTTTCAGAGACCTCGTATGCAGTGTATACTCACCAGACTCTGGCTTGGAGAGGGATGCAATTGTCTCCGGGGCACCCTTACAGAACACGTCGAAGTGAGTTGAGCCCAGACGCCTTGTGACTACGCTCATGCGCTGCAGCCCCGATGAAAATGGCAGCTCCCGCACTATGCCCACCTCATGGGAAGTCACCTGAAAGAAGCATCAGGTCCTTTCATACCCTCTCGTCCAATCACAACCGAGACTAGACTGCGATTGAGTGCAATCCCTTCCCAGCAAAAAGGAACAGAGTTGTATTTTTTCGAGAAAACTCGACACTCCCTCGGGGTCTAACATCAAAATTTTGTGGTCGCAGACAAGCTAAAGAATCGAGCATTTGTTGTTACAGTGAAGCTGTTATGCGCTAGGATCTGGGAAAAAATGTGTCCGCAGATGTTGACTCGAAACTCCCCACTGGTCATGGCAAGCATGAATAAATAAAAATAAAACGAGGGGGCAACCAGTGCGAGTCAGCCTTCCTTGGCATTATTATATAGTGAGGTCTTGATTCCTTGTTATCATCTCTAGGCATCGTCCGAGAAGTCATCCTAGGCATCGTCCTTGAGGTCGTCCTATAGTCCTCTAGGTTGTCCTAGAAGTCGTCCTATAGGCGTTGTCCTCGAGGTCGTCCTAGAGGTCGTCCTAGAATTCATCCTGGAGGTTGTCCTTGAGGTCGTCTTAGACGTCGTCCTCAAAGTCGTCCTAGACGTCGGCCTCGAAGTTGTCCTAGAATTCATCTTTGAGGTCGTCCTTGAGGTCGTCCTAGACGTCATCCTTGAGGTCGTCCTAAAAGTCATCCTTGAAGTTGTCCTAGACATCATCCTAGACGTCTTAAAAATAACAGCTTCACTGGTCCTCCAACTTCACATGAAGTAGAAAAGCTCTACAATTTTTTATTCCTTTTTTTCAATGCTTGATGTACCCGAACGACCTTAGTTTTCAAATGACGTAGTACCATGTGGCCCAAAACTTGGCTCTCACTGAAAGAGCACTTAAGGGGAGACACCCCCTGGGAGGGCCAATTTTTGAACCCTTGGCTTAAATGAATTGAAATTTACAGGGTAGGCTGGTGGTCATGCTAGAGGGTGCATAACAAAATTTTAGGTCTGTCGGTTAATTGGGAAGGAAATTAGGGCAGCTTCTATCAGCAACACCCCTACACTGTTTAGTTAATCTATCGTCAGAAAACTATCCCAATACTAAAGATTTTTATTCGCTAGGTATGTATCAGAATGCCTAAAGGGTGCACCTATGGAAAGGTTTTTGTAAAATGTAAATGATTTCTATCAATTTTCTCTTCTGCGAATTTGGTCAACTTTTTGGTCTTCTGTGACTCCGACAAAATGTCAACATTTTTTATAAAAGACATCCATAAAGTGAAAAACAAACTCCATAGGCGCATTCCTTATTAAATTTCAGTCAGGAAAAGTGAAGAATGAGCCTTGCTTGTATTTCCACTCTCAAACGATAGATTGACTAAAATGGAATTTATACAAAAAAGTGGAATGGAGAAAAATGTGTTCAAAGTGCTTCAAACCCTACCTTTCCTTTAGCTTTGGTGGACAGAAAATTATTTATAAAAAATTAACTATGCAGTGTAAACTAGTGAAAATTTCTGGGAATACTCTCTGGGTGTAGATGGATGTAAATATGTAATTTTTCAAAATCAACGTTTTTTGAAGAATCTTTTTTTCTCCGGGTAGTGTCCCCCCTTAAAACCTACAGTCCAGAAAGAACTAGACAATTACCGTAATTGCACGCCGTCTTTAGAGCATCTAAAGAGCACAAATCATCTAGTTTTCTTTCTAAGACTTGGAGAGAAAGAATCACCCACTTTCAACGTAGAAATCGGAAAGCATGTGTTTGCACTATGGTTGCGATTACTGTGCAAACATCCCATAGTCGTCACAGCCAATGACATACAAAACGCAAAAATTAAAGAGTTGCCAGCTCACCTCAGGTTCGCCGGATGAAAAGACAATGTTTTGAGAAGAGGCTGTTGTTACGGAGGCCTCCTTCGAGGTCTTGGGACGAACAACCGTCGGAGCAATCACGTCGTACTTGGCATTGTCGTCAATGTCTGGCTCCTCTAGGACCTGCAACAATATAAGTCGCTAAGTTCGCGAAACTAGGTACGATAAAATTAATTATTCCGGCGCAACCATGTGAACGTAGGTACTGCTTGCACGTTACAGAAAGCAATTGTACGTTCTGCTCTGCTTGTATGCTAGTACACAAGCAGGTGGCCGTGATTTTTAGTCAAATGTCGCACAAAAGAGAATTTCTTGCAACCTGGGTTGAGCACCTAGGCCGTGGTTGCACTGCAAACTTTGGTTTAATTCTAGGTTAAAAGCTCCTATTACAACATGGGCTCCTTTCCTGCTTAACCTCAGTGCTTTTATAACCTCTTTTCTTGATCAGGCTCGCCTCAATTTCAAAGCAACCATCAAATAAAATTTCTGGCACTTTTTTATATATGCAGAACCTTAGGTGGGATTCAAGCAAGGACAGTTTCTCCTGGCACCACAACGCAAAAACTGTTGCTTTTTATGAGGCACTCGAATGCCGTAGCTATACTCTGTGTCACTAGTTGCATGCAGTACAGGCGAAGGCAACGCCAGGCGAGGGGGGATAGGGCTAGCACTAGGAAGGCTGGGCAGGAAGAAAGAAACCTCCTCTCCTCTCTAACTTTCCGGGTGCTCTCCCTTTCTCCCCCTTTCCTTCATTGCCCTCCTCTTTCGTCCCGCGTTCCTTGTGCTTGCCCTTTCTCTCTTCGCATGGCGCTGCCTTTGACTGCACTGCACGCAACTAGTGACACGGAGTATAGTGCTGCCCGCAATTTCCGCACTTGATTGTCTACTTCTCAACCGAGTTTTAGCAATCCTGGAATTGCAGAGAAACCTACTCCATCTAACGAGCTTAGTCTTGCCAGCTTTTGCAAGGCTGCTTCCCACAGACCCGCATAACAAAAGTCGGCAGCTCCAAAAGCGTGCAGCGAACACCGATCCTTGGGTCTGTGTATGCAAGCTCTGCATCTCTGCCGTGCAGCTCGTCTAGTGGGAGACCGCCGACTCACCCAGTTGGTTGCCTCAAACATCTTGAGGTCGAGGGGATCCCCAGAGAGCTGCCGGTCGATGACTGTGATGGAGTGACATGTGGCCATGCCTCGCAGCAGGAGAGATTCTAGGGGAAGAGTCCATGGCTCGTTTAGCTGCTCCTGGAACCTGGCACGGAGAAATAAAGAAGACTCGCTTTCAGAATGAGCAACCAGATACAGATCCTAAGCTAGAGCACGAGTTCAGGCTGGATTCCAAGGAACCCAGGTTCCCCAGAGTTACCTAGGGGTTCCCCAAAGTTCCCTTGGGGTTTCCCCTAAGTTCCCTAGGGGTTCTCCAGAGTTCCCTAAGGCCTCCCCAAAGTACCTTCATGGGTTCCCCGAGCTCCCAAATTTCCTCGGCTGTCTCTTGTCCCAAGCAAAGAGTTCTTTCAGTTTAAGCATTTATTTTAGTAAATTTAAGCCACCCACTAATGCATAACTATGAGTCAAATGACTCCATAGCTTATGCATTGCCATTTACAAGTTCTCCACATTGAGAAGCATTGAATGGAAATGTTGAGGCAAAGAGTTGTCGCCTTTCTGCCATTTGGTCTTATTTTGTCGCATATATTTCCAAGACGTTTCGGTGGTCTCAAAATCCTAACCGAAGGTACTCTACAGAGGTTCTTTGTCGGACGACAAGCCCTTGTCCTTTGAATTCCATTCCGAGAGGCATTGAAAGTCCAAGTCGGAAGAGCCATTGCCCCCATTCGTTGCGACTGCTGCCCTTGCCGACACGCACGCGAGACCCGCTGCAAGGCAGGAAGTCTTGCGTGTGAAAACGTAAAATGCCGTAAAACGCTGAGCAAGCACCCACATAAAACTGGGAGGTGACCTAAAGAACGGGGGATAATTACTCGCATACTATCTGTACCCCGCTCGTTAGTCTTTAACAAGGACGCGAAAACTACGGCTCCACTGCTTTGTTATCCGGGAGGTGTGGGTTTGAGCAACACAGCCTGGGAGACAAGGCCGTAGTGCTGTCCAGCATTGGCCTTGGCTGATGACACTACCTGATTCAGCACTACCGCCTTGTTATTTAGGAGGTGTGGGTTGGAAGCAGGAGGAGGGGGCCTACTCACTTTCCCCCGCTGGCGGGCACGACCCCCCAGAGGTCGAGCCCCTCCTCGGTCAGGGTGCCTGTCTTGTCGAAGCAGAAGCAGTTGATGCAGCCCGAGATGTTGATGGACCGTGGAGAGATGCAGTACACCAGGGCGCTGCGCAGCCGTGACTGGGCAAACACAATGCCCATCGTCATGGCCGCCGGCAGCGCGGGAGGGATCACGATGGTCACCACGTCCAGGCTGCGCACTATGATAGAGCCCGCCGCCACTCCCCGCATCATCTGCACGCACGAGGCCCCAGAGAGTCGGTCAGTCACACTCGGCATTCTCGCAATTGGTGCCGTGCACCGCCAAAAGCGTTGTAGTGGTTGGACTTCCAAGACTATCGAAAAATTCGCGTACGACGTCTCGAGTGTGACGAATTCTAGATTTATTGACGGAGATGAAAAGATTGTGAAACTGCGAACTTTGACAATGTCGGTATGAAGAAGCGACGACTTCGAGTCTCCCGAGTGCTTTTTATGCGTGCCGTTGAAATTGTCGCTGGCAATTGATAATCCTGGTCGCGACGTTGCAGATGGCAACCGTAAAACGCCTCGTCGCCGATAGTCACTCGTGAGGTGGAAAACGGCAGGGAGGAGTTTCACCTCTCCTACTTCCAGCACGAGCTTTCCATCTTCAATAATGCTTCGGCGTCTCGTGCACCTCGAGCGCACACGTGCTGCGAAAGCATGGTGAAAGGCAGCGAAAGCACAATAGAAGGCATCGAGCGTACGCTAGAGGCTGGGCGTTCGAAAGACGCGCCTCGTTGTTCTCACTCTGTCGTCGGTGACTAGAGCACTGCTACAGTCACCAAGAGGATGAGATTGGCGGAGAGGTCCTTCAGTTGTCCCACTGGGTTCTGGGCACGTAAAATGTCTCACTCGCCGTGGAATTTTTGGTACGAGAATGTCATCTCATGTTTGTGATCTGTTAGACTATAAACAGCGCAAAAATGATTAGAGTATAGTTTTCCCTAATGTTTACTTTGAGGTTGTATGGGATCTCGAATACGATTGTGCAGACATTCCAATTGTAGTTTCGATTAATATGCTATTCGATATTCGTTCGAGATGAACTGCGATATTCATATTTTCCTAAAGGTTGATCACGGTGGGTTAACCCCGCTGCACACGCTTCTACAGAGCGCGGGTGCACTGCAGAGAAGCAACACGCGTGGAGGTGAGCGCCGCAGGGGTTGCTTCTCTGCTGTGCACCTGTGCTCGACAAGAAGCATGCTCAATGGGGCTAGCCTGCCGCGATAGATGCTGTGAAAAGTACAAATACTGCAGTTGCGTGGTTAAGAGGAAAGCACACTTTCAAAGCGGGATGGCACGCATGCAGCTGGTGTATTGAAAAAAAGACACACACTTTGTGGATGTTGATATCTACACTACGCTAAAACTTCCAAAGTTAAACTGACTATTACACGAGAGAATAGTATGTTAGGCTGAGATTTGCTGACAACTTGCATTCATCATTCATGAATGTCTTTTTTTTTTTCTCTTTTCTCAAGTTTGAGATTTAAGAGAGGATATTTGCATATATACATTCCTCCTGATTAGGCACAGCTGGACATGTCTATAGGTTCAGTTTTATGTCAAATGTGTCATTTACTTGCTATCCCAAGTAGAGAAACTATTCAATATTTGATTAAAAATATTTGGCCGAAACCACTAGTATTCGATTTGAACTAAAAATGCACTTTTTGCACACAACTACCATCAAACAAGATTGGCAATATTATCGGAGATGATTGGTGCGATGGATATTAATACACACTCTTTGAAAATGTATGTTCATTAAAGAAACTGCCAAATATTTTGTAATTGACACCCTGTCGGCACAATTTAAGGTCAGAACTCAGGTCCTACCTTGAGGACAACCGTGTAGATGACCCCGATGCTTGCCAGAGAGGCCAGAAAGAGAAGGAAGTTCTTGATGTGACGGTTAAACTTGAAATCCACGGGCTTGGGGAACATGATGGAGCGCACCAGCTCTCCCTTGGCCGTCAGGAATCCTGGTTCAGTTGGGAAACGTGAAAAGAAAGCTCAGAGACGCAGCTCACATGCAGAGTGATGCAGTCAGCACAAATGTTCCATGTCTGGTTACCTGCGTCCAGCCTGCAAACCTGCTGAAATGTCTGAACCAACTCATGAACCGAGAGTCTCTGTATGCACGAGGGCTCAAATTTTCCAATGTCTATGCACAGGTACACTTCACAGCACAGTCAGCACAAACATGACATTGATAAATTTCTAGATTTTAATCAAATGGGTTGTTGACGATCATCAGATGCTAGTGCGTAGATGGAGGCCCGAATGAGCCCTTTCCACCATATTAGTAGTCATAAAGGGAAACTCCGCTTCATTCTCGGTTGTTAGCAAACACTGCGACTCTCTTTAGTATCATCTAGAGAGACCGAATGTCAAATATTATAACGTAAGACCACCTAAAAGATCTATAAACCGGCGGACAAAAACTGAGACGCGCGAAGTCACCAAAATCCGCTAATTTAGCGGGCGACGTGCGGCGCAGCCAACGTTGTATTTCCGTTGTGGCTGACGTCTGTTGCATACGCAGTTTTTTTCTTGGTATTTTCTTTTTCAGGGAGAGCTTACAAGGGTGGCGCTACGGACGCGCTCCACGTCTGAGCAAGCAAAGAAGCGAGACAGACAAAGAAAAAAAAAATGAACAAGAGAAACAAAAAGAGGGAGAGAGAGTTGTACGGGATGAGTTTCGCTGACATACGTGCCAACTGATGCCAACAGACTAACTGCAAATACTATTTGATAACCGCCTGGGTTGCCGCCTACATAGCCTGCTTCGTCGCTGCTTGCGTTGCCTGTTCGCCGCCGCCAGTGACTTTAGGCCCGCCCTCCCTCCTCCCTCCTCGCCCTTCCCCTCGCATCCGCGTCCGTTCTGGGTTACCGCTGGTAGATCACGTGACCCATTGTATTCCACGTGGGTGCGTATGCAACTGACGTTGAGGATAATGTTGCCCGGCTGTGCCGAAGTTTCAGTTTCGGTTTGCGATTATGGTAAATAACAAATCACGCGAAAAATATTTTGCTTTTAATGAGACAAACGGTCTAGGGTTGTTTTGAAGTACTTTTCACGTTTATATCACCCACTATCTCAAAATTTCCGAAATCGAGCGGAGTTGCCCTTTAAGACACAAGACGTCAGAAATTCGTGGTCGTTTGTTCGTGCTTATAATGTCACACTCTAACTGTGCTCTTTCATTAAGTTTCACTTTTAATGTAGATGCATATATTTTAAAGGGCCTGTGAGATAAAAAAATGTCTTTTTAAAAGTCTGGTTGGGACACACGTAACAAAAAATTAATTGTACATGGAAAAAAAATTTTTTAGAGCAATACTGATGGCGCAAGAAGCGATTTCATCGGTAGTCACCTCCTTTCCACTTGTTTTCTCTCTCGGAATTTCGGGCGTGTAGAGGAGGGGTGGGTCGGCTTTGTCTTCACGTTGAGGTGGAAAGGGTGAACGACCGAGATGGTCATTCTAGAATGACCTATGACGTCATGAACATTGCGCGCAGAATTTCAAATAAATGTCACCGTCAATATTGCCCTAAAAAAACTTTCTTAACATAAAATATATTTCTTGACATGTGCGTCCCAACCAAACTGTATAAAATAAACTTCTTTTTCTTTTAGAGGTGAAGCTCCTGTTTAGCCTTGTCCGTCCAGCATCCGTGCTCACATCAATTTTGCTGGTGCTCGTGAGCTCACGTGCTCGTATAAAAAAAAAAAAAAAAAAAAAAGATTAAAAAAAAAAAAAGTTGCACAGTCGACAGGATTTGAACCTGTGTGGGGATACACCAATGGATTTCTAGTCCATCGCCTTAACCACTCGGCCACGACTGCAAGACGAGTAGGGGGCTCTGAGATGTGGTAGTAACTCAAGAGCCGGGGATGTCTTGGATGAAACGTTGCATCTAGCCGCTCAACGTTTGTACAGAAGAGGGCGCTGCGGTCAAATGCGTATACAACCGCAATAAACTTTGCATGCATTGGCTTAACGTTTATAGACGAGAGGGCGCTGCGGTAAAATGCTCAAACGCGTATATAAACACGTTCCATACCACAGATTCTCTTTCTGACATGAATGAAAACGAACGAAAGGCTCGGCATGCTGCGGTTCAGCGTCTACGCAGACAAGCACCACCAGAGCTTCGCCCCAATCAACATCATTCACCACGTGGAGGTGCAGTCAATTTTCTTTTAAGGGGCCTTTCAAGTGCTCACTCAACGTTAGAGTGTGTTCACTTTCACACTTGCTTCTTGGCAACTAAATGTGAAGCATGTAGAGAAACACAACATTAGAGTTGGACAGATCACAAATGCAACCACAATATCATATGCAGTTGGCTATTTCAAATGTGCTTAGCAGAGTAAAAGGCAAACATATACCATATTTACTCACATAATGAACACACTTTTTTCCCAAAGAATTGACACACAGTTGGGGGGGGGGGGGGGGGGGGGCGTTTATTATGCGGAGTAAAATTGTTGCATTTACACAGTTCGTACAAATGTAATTTGAGGTGCCAATATGATATGACATGGCAGGATAATGTGGCACGTCTCCACTGAAAGAGGCGGACCCATGGCTGGTCTGGGGTGCGCCACCGTAACCACGCTCTATAAATTGCAAACCTTTTTAGGACGCTTTTGGCGTGCCTTTTGTCGAAGCAAAAGCGCCCTACAAAGCTCACTGGGCACAAAGAGCGATGCGACCGTTCTTAGGCCTAACCATTTTCACAATATAGCTGTCCGAAAGCGGATCACAGACGACGGCGTGTCTGTTGACATCAATGCATCCGGTGGACAGAGCGCGTTTGAGGCTGGGCAATCCCTTGTGAGCGCTGCTCGGTTTCACAGTTGATCACTCCTGCAACCACGCAATTGCAGCCATTACGAGAGCGGCTTGGCTTGGCTTGGCTCGGCCTGGCCGCTCGTCGGCAAACTAAAATTGGCTTCAAGATTCGCAGAGCCTAAAACTAAAAGTGTGTTCGTTATGCGAGAAAAAGAAAAAAAGTCAAAATAATGATGCATGTTTTGGGGAGTGCGTTCATTATACGAGTAAAAACGGTAGTTCACACTTTTAACTTTCCCTCACGTCCTCCTCCTCACCCTATCGGAAGCGCTTGATCCCTGCCCAAATGAGCACAAAGGGCCGTGTGCCCTCCTGTCAGTTTCTCCCTTCTCTACCCTCACAGCTGGGGAGACTGGGAAACAATTCTGCTTTGCTGATGCTAGAGTTTGTAAAATGAGCTTTTAAACCCTGGTTCAAACCCTGGTTCAAACCCAGCTAAGCTTCAAGGAGAGAAGAATGGTGCACACCTAAAGTCTAGATCACACATTTATGCCTGAATGCGCTCGAGTGTAGAGTTTTTTCGTGACCACATATGAGAGAACATGCTGGCACAGTCTATCAGGTAGTCCTGGAGGTCTTCCCACCTTCGTTTCACTATATTTTTACCATTTTTTAGGCATAATTTTTTTTACCGTGGGCTCGAAATATTTCAAAACAATGTCATAAGCGAATGCATTTTTCATAGACAGTGAGTAGATATGATCTCACAAATACTGCAAAGCATTCAGTCTAGTTCTACAGAGAGGGGAAGAGTTTTGGGGCTACCCAATAAACGAAGCCAGCGGGCCAGTGTTGTTCTTTCAATGTAGGCAGTCGCAAGGATATGCGACGCACTTGAACACACACAAACACTGTGAGCTTGTGTGTGAGCCTGCCTTAAGCTCTAGGCAAAAGAGAATGAAGGCAGCTTACCCGTGCGGACGACCAGTGCCTCGACGCTCTCGGTCCCGTAGTAGCGCGTCTGGATGATCCGGGTGCCGCAGAAAAGCGTGTGCCGTGCATGCTCCTTTGGGTGAAATGGCACATCCAGCGAGGGCTGGCTGACACCAGGGTTGGGGAGCGGGGTCTTCACCACGGGGACGCTCTCTCCTAAGGAGGAACGTGCAAACAAAAGGTCAGCAAAGTTCCCTCGCATGGCCACATATCAAGTGAATGGCTTAAAACAAATCAGAGAATTCGAGAAGTGCAGCATCCAGGCTAGGGTTCTGGAACTAAACCCGAGCCAAGTGATGCGACAAGATCGTTCTACTGCTTAGATGTAGCCCCCTAAGCCTATTTCCCCTTCAGCAGTTGCGAAAAGAGGCGGCCCAGTTTCTGCGATTAGAGAGAGCGAGCGAAAGATGTAGAGCAAGCATAGAGATGATAGAAGCAGAGAGATAACACAATGAAATGGTCATGATTGAAAGAGAGAAGCAAAATAAAACATGCAACTTTTAGAGGTGTGTGGCATCTGGTCCTTCAAATACTCAGCTGACATTCCCCAAACATTTTCCACTCAGGCAGCTTTTCCACCGTGAAGGTAGTACAAGTTATATTCCCGAGAGAAACACTAGAGAAACGATGAAGGAAGGCGCTCACCCGTGAGCATGCTCTCGTTGACGATGCAGTTGCCTGCTGTGAGCACTGCATCGCACTGCATCACGCAACCGTTGCGGGGCACCACCATTACGTCCCCGGGAACAAGGTGCTCCGACGGGACGTTCTCATAAACTGAAAGTAAAAAAAAGCAGGTAAGACCAGTAAAATACACTCACCAAAAACATTTTAACTCATATTCTTCGAGCCCTAAAGACAACCTTTGAGCGTAGTATGTCTGCCTCGATCTCCTTCCTCCTTCCCCCCATAGCAAAAGGGATTACACAAAAAGAATGATAATTTCACCCTGCAATAAAACAAAGTATGCTTTAGGACAGTGGTTTTCATATGGGGGTCCGCAGACCCTTTGGGGTCCCTGAAGGCCTCCTTAGGGTCCTAGTCGTCAACCATAAACCAAGCTGAGCAATAAACTTTTTTTTTTTATGCTGACTGTTTCACAAGGGTATATACTAGACCAAACCATGAGCGCCAAGTCAGTAGGGTTGATTATTCCCCTTTTCAGAGCTTCAAGGTGGCTTTGAAATTGAAAACATGATGGTGCTTTGAAGACGGGGACATAGGAAGGACAGACACCACAGAGCCCTAGCTTTCAACTGATTTAATCTCAACCAATCCGTGGCAGGGCCACGGATTGGTTGAGATGTGGTGCGGTGACGCAGTGTGTTTCTACGCTGAGTTTCTTGGATTAAATCAGCTGAAAGTTAGCGCTCTGTGGTGTCTGTCCTTCCTATGTCCCCGTCTTCAAAGCGCAATCATGTTTTCTAACGTACCATACCAACTTGCCCAACAATCAGCATTTGAAATTGACTTTTGTCATTGCAATCATCTAGTAACCCCCCTCCCCCACGGTGGATTGGATCCCCCATCACTTCTGCTGATCCAGAAGGGTTCCCCGAAACATAAGTGCACTTAGAGTATACTTTTAGTGCCTTTATTTATTCATTGTGTCCAGATATGGCCATAGTCCTGATACTGGCACAAACAAACATACACAAGAAAAAAATGCAAGCAAGTACTAGTATTATTAATGGTAAGGGTGCTGCAAATCCCGTGTAAATCAATATCGTATGTGCCTCATACAAGAAAGGAACTAGTACACATTTTTGACCAATAAAAAAAGAAAAAGCATGTCCCTCTTGCTTAAATGCAATTTCTATGTGGAACGCAAGTTTGCCTGCTTCTTCCACAGGGGTTGCGATGATGTCAGATCGCCGATCTTTTATTGGCCGATCGAAAAAAATTGTGGGTAGGCATCTAGCATTGAGGTCTACCCGCTACGCCCGCACGTCAGGGATTCTCGAATATGATCTCCTACGGGCCCCATCACTGCCTTGACCCGATTCCGACAGGAGTAGGGCAGCATTGGCCGTGGGCGTCGTGAGTAGCATTGGAAAATCAATGCTGCTCCCGCTGCTTCCTGGCCGCGTCGGTGCATCAACACTGGATGCGGCGCTCTGTACACTCTGCCCTGCCCTTCCCTTCACTTCGTCATCCGTTTGCTCCGTTTTCTTGTTTTCCGTTCGCCTCGGTGGAGGAGGGGGAGGGAATGCAAGGGTCTCTGTGTGCCTCCGTGTAGGCTTGCATGCTTTCGGCGGCTCGGCCTTCGTAAAAAACGTGGTCGACCGGCGAGAACACTTTAAATAATCAGGTTGCAAGTGCATGCATTTTGGTCGGGACCACATTGAACTTCGATAAAAAAAGATAATTCGAAAAAAGCAATTTCGTTATAACGAGAGACTACTGTATATTTTTAAAATAACTAGAAAGGTGCACAAGCATTACACCATCAAAAAGATTCTGAAATGCAAACAGTAAAGAAACAGATCCATTATTTGGGACATCTGCCGAGTCACCCGATTGTAAAATAGGCACCAAGATGGATGACTTCTATTTTCCTAGAAAAACACCGTTTTTGGTGACAAACTGAATAAATAAGTTAATATTGGTATAAAAGCTTCAGAAGAGCCTTTAAACTATAGACGCTGATATGTTATCAGACCCCAGACAAATATTTCTGTTTTAAACGTCCAACGTGCATCTTTCTACTATGAAGTGATCACTGCTGAAAGGAGCGAGAGTGTTATCCATCATTGCAAAAGCTGTCCGACTATGTAGCAACGGGTGAGGGTTTGCAGATTGTGCATCATTTAGGAGTGCACTTGAAAGGTACGACGAAAACAACTCGCAGGCTACAATGGGATCAAAGTAAAAACCAGTAATGTTTGACAACACAATGGACGTTGCTCCCTTTCCCATGCCCAGTGCACTGTGTTTTCTGCTTCTAGAAAATGTCTGGGCTTTCCCTTTAAAAAATATCACAAAAATAAAAAAAGAGAAGAGCAAGACAAATAGTTCCTGATTATGCATACATCTGTCAAGGATTAGGCTGACGCAATTTAAAACTTTAACATGACATTGTAGAGGGCCCGATATTTTGACAGGCTAGTGTCGGTGCAGTGACTTACCGTAAGATACTGAACCTGCACCCATGTCGCAATAAGACCCCCCCCCCCTACTTTTAAAGCATCTGATATATAAAAAGCAAAGGACATATCAAGTGCCCAATCCTGCAAACTTCTAAGCACACCGAGCTCACAGAGATGCTTTCCCACATTAGCCACATCTCCAAACATGGTGATGCAAAGTGCATGAGCCAGTGCAAAGCAGTGACACTTGATGGGAGAGCACCAGTGCTAACCCAAGAGCAGTGGTGCAGCTGCTTTAAGAATTAGCGATTCCTCCAGACACCTGAAGTGATCCTATGGCATCGGATCACATAAGAGCCAAGCGAGTGCCTACTATTGTACCATGCGCCCCTTCCGCTTCTATGCTCTCAGACTTGATGAGCGCCCATTATTTTGTGATTATCTCTAACTCTTGGGTGGGCGTCTGCTCGGTATTTTACGCTATTACACTCATATAAAATATACAACTGTTCAAAATAAGCACTAATAAAAAACAAAAATCTTATTTTTTTTTATTTTTTTAACAGTGGATATCTGCTGCTTTTGCCAAGAGAAGGAACAAAAAGTGCACTGAAGTCACTTACCACCCTTGCTACGCTTCACCATGACAACATCTGTAGCATGGACTGTACTACTCAAAGCTTTCTGGTTCTGTAAAATAGAGGACACCAGAATGAAACAACCCCCCAAGAAAGCTATTATTATTACAATGCCAGTGTAAAACCAAACATCAGAGGAACCTACAAAACATATTGAGTGGTCTAGAAAAAGTCTACTAAGAAAAAGTACTGAGCTAGATTTTTTATACCAGGCCAGTTGGTTTCCCAACAAAAACATAAGTGAAAAATACAAACCAAAAATTATGTAAGGGAATTCAATTACATATAGGCAGCTCAAAATAAAAGGCTATGTAAAAAAGACCTTTAATTTGAAAACATTTTTCCTCCAGTAAGCCAAAACAAGCAGCTAACGGTATGATTCGTGTTGGCTAATGCCAACACAAAAACTAAGGCATTACTTTTCCTGCTCCTATTTAATTTTCTTGCCATCCTTTGCAAGATTACGCCTGTCACTCCAAGCTTTGAGTTCCCAATTCTGGTTGCTTTATTTTCAAGGAATTGCCCTCCTAGCATCAACTCACCAATCTGATCTGGTAGACTCCGCTGACTAGTGACAATGCCGACATCGCAATAATGCACGAGGCATAGTAGTAATAGTTATCACTGAACCAGATTGCCATGCTGAACACTTGAAACACATAAAATGGCTCCAGCACCTGAAAAAAACAAGGAACAGGGGTCACAGGTTGCTCCTCGACACTGACTGGCACACATTTCGGCTAGGCTTTGCACAGTGATATTACATTTTCCGGCGTATAATGAGCACCCCAAGCCACATACCTACTAATCCCTACACACACACTCTGAACACTTTTAAATTTTCATTTTTGTAAGGTGCAAAAACAATTGGAACAGCCTTCCTTAAACTGGTGTTGACAGCTCAAGTGCCTCATTATTCGTTCAAAATCTTGCCCACTTCATTTTGCAGCAATGTCTTACTTGCTACAATTACATGAATAAATGTTACACTTCACTAAATAACTGCTCCTGTCTTTAAGAAAAATACAGAAAAAAATATAGTATATATACAGGGTATTTCATATAACTTGAGCAAGTGAATGTTTCTGAGGATGCTCTACAACTTTGTCATTAGAACTCTTGCTCTAAAATGAATATTTAAAATGTTAAATAATTAATCTTAATTAATTAATTAATTAGACAAAATACAAAAAAAAAAAAAAAAACCTGGCTTGCTTTAAACAATGAACAAACTTATATGTTTGGTTTTGTCTCCCTAAAATGCACCACAATATCTTTAAACCTTGGCTCAAGTTGCGTAGAATACCACATATATATACAGTATATATATATGTGTGTGTAGGTATAAGAGGTGCAGGAGTTTGTTTGGAGGCCTAGGTTAACACACGAGGAAGCCCTGCACAAATAGCATAAAAATATTACAAAGCCCATTTGAAAGCCCTCCTGTAGACATGCCTTGTGCTCAAAATGCAGGACTTTGTTGTCCAATACTCACAGAGAGCAACCCTGGTGCACATAAACAAGTAATGGTCACATGAGGTGCATGTTATATACCGGAAAATGTGGGTTAAGAGCAGCTAATGGCTTTTGCAAAAGTACAAGCTTACATAAATGAGAAAGCTTAAGTCAGGGAGAGATTGTAACAGATGCATGCTTTACATTCAAGCACATTTTTGGGACAGTTAAATGTGCAGATGCTTTAACAATAAAAATATTAAAATACTGTACGAGAGCAATAAATGACATACATCTATCATAAGTGTGCTTTATTAACAAGTCTCCAGCTAGTCGTAAAAACAAAGTTTATAAGACCAAGCTAAACTTTTTCACTGGAGTCTGCATTTCTATCAGCTTCCATTTGGTAAAGGCAAACAAAGAGAAGTGAAACAGTTAGGCTGTTATTAGCATACAGAAAAAAGTTTATGGAGACATATGGTTAATACATTACAAGCAGCCAATGCTTCACTAATCAAAAGTGCACATTATCTTTAAGGCTGCTGCCATTTTTGGATAATTACGCTCGTCCAAAAGCCTACTGCTCACGGTTTGAATCACAGTGCTTATCCAAAGAGAAGTGACATCAATCCAAGACTAACCTCGTGAAAGAGGATACGAAAGACTGACTGTATTTGGACACTAATTACATTATCCCCAAAAAGAACTCGTCTGAAAAAGTGAAGGAGCATTGTTTCAATCATATGAGCTCAAACACACATACACACATACAAAGAACACTTCGCAAAATCATGAAACAAAAAAATCTGAAAGGTTTGGAGGAAAGGGAAAGAGGAAATAGCAGACAATGCCAAGAGGTTTATGTGCATGCACATAAAATCATGCTTAAAATTAAAGATTCAAGTGCAGAGTTTAAAGAAAGCCAACCCATGTATTGTTTTCTCTTTCTTTCTCGTCAAAATGTATGGGCCAGTCACAACCTTCCCAGTTCTACAAGCAGATTCGAAACACTTAAAAATATGCCCCTTTCATACTTCTACACAGCAGCTGGCAATAACCTTCTCTTGAAAACCGTACAATGATTCTTCAAAGGCTTGATAACGGATTGTATGTTGCTTAAATTTAGCACACATTGCAAGCTTTCTACATATATTTCTTAAATAATTGCAGTGCATGTTGTGTAATGCCATAACGAGGCATTAAACTGCCCATGTCGGCCCGCCTTACGGAAATGAAGAAGACATTGCATCTTTGAGCAGGCAACCCTAGGAAAGACAATAATAGAGCCTGGATCGCCAATTAAATTGGCTCATCCGATAATCATCAGCATACTTTTTTTTTATGCTAAGATATGCCACTTCCTACAGTTCAATAAAGAATGTGCAAAAACGCAAGTTTTCTCATTTCTTCACTTGTTCACAGCGTATTTGACTAAACTGAAGAATCATTCCATGGTATTATTAACAGTGAAACAATACCGAGAGAGGCATACACTTCACCCATGCAATTCATTTTTTAGAGAACAGCAAAAATCTATATGAACTGTTCATTTGCACTCACTCTCAGCTGTGGTATTTATTTTTATGCAATGCTAACATACTGATACATCAGCTGTATCCCCCCCCAAAAGTGGTTACCTGGAAAGTTTATAATCATGTAGCTTATATTTGCTTAGCGACAATATACAAAAAAGGCCTGTTGTGAATAAAACATGCACAAATTATCAGGTAAAAGTAGCGTACTAGAGTGCGCAAAGAGTTAATGACACCTGTTGAATGTACTTAAATTCCATACAGTAGCATATATTTATGGTCCTTCGTTTTTGGGTTTTGTTTTTGTCAACGACTATTCATCTCTTGTTCCGATGATTGTGTGCCCATTGTCCTCCATGTGTCGTTCATGACTGCACTATTTCTTTTGTGTCCCCTAGTTTAGGGGTTCAAAGCTCCCAGAGTATCCAATGGGTTTGCCCATTTTCCTGTTGGGACCATCCGGCCTAACCTTGATTTTCTTCTATGTGCTTCTCCATTTAGGGTCGTAGTCTGAAATAATTTGAAGAATTTAAAAAAAATGTTTGGTCATCCCAGTGATATCCCACATTGCCGGTGATAGTTACGAAATTACAGAGGGTAAGCAAATTGGCGAAGGAAAGAAATACTTTTGGTTCTTAATTTCTAGGCCAGGTGGCGCAAGCTATTGTCAGATATAAAGGGTACAGCCGTTAGCATCCATCTATCCATTCAATAAAACAATGTCAAAAAGAGTAAAAAAAATCCTTGCTTAGAAAAGTTATGGACGTGGAAATAAACAAAACCCGAAAACGAAGGACCCTACACATAGTATTTAAAAGCAAAACTTTGGTAGCCCTGTCACCTAGTAACTCAATGTGCAGTTTTTGCAACCTGCAGTGGATTTCATACAGTACTAAAAAGAGATGCGGCTTTTTTTTATTTTATTTTTTTATTTCCAATTTTGAAAGTTTTTGGCCTATGGAGTGTAAAGCCCAGAAGACATAAGAGTCAGAAGCCAGGACTATGGTGTGTAATACTGATACGATCACTATAAACCAAGTGTTTCTTATGAACAACTCTTAACCTGCCACAGTATGTACGAATATAAGGGATGCTGTTGAACCTATGCTTCACACTAAAAATATTCCTCATAAAAAGAAAAAAAAAAAGCTATGTTGATCAATCTGAGTTCCATTAGTGGAGCTCCGACTCTCCACTGATTTGACTCGCATGAGAGCTCTCAGTTGCCTCGAATGGTCCACTGCAAGGCAATGCAGTGGATACCGCCAAGCAGTCCCTCAAAAGGTCCCACTGATACTTGCATGCCCATAAATCCAAACCAGCTCTTCTGAAGTAGATTAAAATGTCTCTACAGAAACATTTTACTCTCTTACATAGCATGCCTCCACACAGAACTCTTCCACGTGTATCATTGTATCATTACGGATATACCGTCTGTGAATCTGTCGCATCATTCCTTTACTCTTGGGGAAAATCTTAACGCGCTATACACCACTTCGTTTTACGACAGATCGCAGTGGACGCTGCAAGTCATCCCAGTCAATCCAGCGCCCTGTACGTATCATGAGACTCTGCACACTGCGCATCGCTGCACCCTCTCCTAAGGTCACGTGACCCTCAAACGACATGGGATTAGCTTCGGTGCCTCGTAGCATCATATGCGGTCCATCGTAAGGTGAAATAAGGTATAGACAGGTTTTAGGAGACGTCCAACAAGAAACAGGTTAACAAGCACTCACGACGTGGGTTGGCCTCTAAACCGACAACACCAGAAATGAAGAAAAAAAGAGAGACGAAAAGGCAGAGAGAGAGATGGAGAGAAAGGGATAGAAAGGGAGCGGAAAACATTTGACTGGCCAGCCCGGCCAGACAAAAAGAGAGAGCAGTGTTGCAACAAAAATGGTTGTACGCTACCTAACCAGTTGCTCCTGGAGGGAAATTCCTTTCTGCTGGTGGAAATAAGAACACGGCACATTTCTATCGAAACCCCTCAACCTCGTAAACACTTTGAGGTCGTGGTCCCAGAGGTAGCGGACCTTCTTGTTCTCGAAGAACACTAAAGACTCCGTCGTTTCGAAGGCTCCCTGAAAAAACAGAGCGGGAAGGGGCTGTGGGGCACTTGCTGCGGACGTGAACGCAACGTCCTGCTGCCCAAACGGATACCGTACGTTGGGTCGTGCGCCAAATGCTGCGAGGGAAACGCAACGAGGAACTCGGTAACTGACAGACTGGGCACCTTCTCTTGTCTGCACCTGGCTTAGTTAACACTGTCCAGCAGGTGAGGGCTACACCTTTACCAGTTTACGTGCAAGACTAATCTTACTCAACACCCGACCCCTCTTCGAGTCTTCTGACCGTTTATATTCTGGGCACGCAGATCTCCATAAACAGTAAAGTTTTCGTGCCACATGAAATAAAAGGTGCAAACTTTCCTTGACTGAGACAAGCGTCCTGGGCGCCATGCAATGGACATTATGCGAAACAAAAAGAGTAGAAATAACACATGCCTACATATATCTTACTTTTATGCTGTTTGTTTTGTAAGTACAGATTACAGTCTCGGAAGATGTGCCTCACTTTAGTTGTCTATTATTTCCCTACAACAGACGCTCAATCAGCAGATGCAGACATCTTTGCTTTTCCTATGGAACCGACCGCACAAGCAAAACTCAAAAGTGTGAGAGAACAAGGAAGGAGGAAATTCAGCTTACACCTGGCTTCAGGGTTACCAGCTCCTTCATTTCATTCGGTCCGTCGGGAGAAAAATCCTCCTGCCCCGTTACAGAGACCATGAGGGGAACACTGCAAAAGCGGCGAGAAATGGGCAAGGACACCTGTCGCTAAACAGGCCTACTAAACGCATGACGCACAACGGTTCTTGCATTTCTTTTTCTACGCCCGTAGCTCGACAAGTTGTTAGAGCACGACACTGCCACAGACACGTTGCAGTCACCAACAGAATGAGAAGGGCAGGCAAGTCGTTCAAATGCCCAGAGTACAGCGAGCACTTTGTGCCTTCCATCGCGCTCCAACGACACGCCGAAGCATTATTGAAAGTAATAGGAAGCTCGCGCAGGAAGCGGAGAGATCGAAGCTCCTCCCTGCCATTTACATCCGGCCAGTGACTAGAGTAGACCGTAGGAGAAGCGCCGTTTTAATGGAACGGGCAAATAGGAAGGCAAACTCACTTTACTTTTGAAGGCAAGATGGTTTGGACGGGCTCCACAAACAGCTGTTGGTACTGATCCTGGAAATGACAAGGGATTGAAAGAACGTAAGCAGCCGCTGCGGCTGGAGAAGAAACTCTGCATGCACACTGCTGTACACGTGTTTGCAAACAGTCGACCACTAATTCACCGGTGTCAGAAACTAGACTCTTCTAGAAGAAATCACATTACATAAAGAAAGGGAACCTTATCAGCAGGTAGTGACAGGAGAAGAGGTCAGCTGATTGCGGCACTGTTTACTAGTTCCACTGAAGGCTGGGATCCCGGTACAGGGTTATGTTTGAAGAAAACGATTGTGAGACAAGGTCCCATTTATCTTTAAAAGGCAGCCCACAACCTAGCTCTTCTAGAAGGAACCTCTTAGTTTACTGCTATCAAAAACAACTGCGAGGATAGCAAAGGAGAGGAAGATGGAACCAAGAGAGAAGGACATGGTTTCACACACTGTGCAGTCGGGGAAAAGGGGATCAAATTTTGGGGAGAGGAAGAGGGTGTGGGAAAGGAGGCAGCAAGGAGAAGTGGGAAGCACCAAGTCTACCCTGGACTTCGATTTCAAGAAATGGTGACAGGCATGCGTTTCAAGAACAATAAATTGCAATTACTGTGTTTTATATATGCTTGATCCCTCAGCAAAGCTGCATCTCCACAAACAACTTCCATATGGAAAGCAAATAGTTTTTTTTAGCTATATGTATGTTTATTTTGCCTCTAACACCTCAACGAAAATTGGGTACCATAAAGGGCTGCCCAAATGGGGACTTTAGAATGTGTGAAGCCACACAACTCCGCCGTAAGGCGTGCAGCAGTTTGCTTCCGTCCGTTTCTTTTCGCCGAGGGAGGAAAGCTTCACTCCGCAAACGTCCGTTTCTGTTCTTCAGGGACGCCTAAAGCACGCTCATCACGTGGGTCCGGGCAGTCACTCACACGATCTGTTGGCTGTCAGTGAAACACTTAAGGCCTCCGCTACCATGGCGATGGAGAGCCATGGTACAATAGATGGGCAGGCAACAGGCACACCACTGGCAGGTCACATGTGACGTCAAGTCTGACGAGCACCAACACTGACATCTGACAAAAGCAGAGGCAGAAAGCCGTGATGTTTGCCTGGTGGATGTCCAAACAGAGGACGGACCGCTGGACTTCAACTTTCACTTCATATGGCGGTGAGGTGTCACCTCACATGTTTCGAAGTATCCTGTTTGGACACTCGTCCCGCAGGCTGTATAAGCTTCCCTTCATCAACATGCCTGCATGGCATATGAAAGCCTATCAACATCATTTATGAAATGAAAGCAGCAAAAGATGAGGCACTGTTAGCATCCTGGCTGAGAAATGCTATTCGCACAGGGATATAATTGTTATCGGTACCTCACTATCCACCGGTTTCTTTCCATAAACGACAGCGATTGGCTGTTCCCCTGCTTTGTGGCAAAGCAGATAAATGGGTTTTGTTCATAGGAGGCTTGTACTATACACAGGGACAACTTTCTGTGACATTTCAGAGGTGAAAAGTACACATGCACAGCTCTGATCGGTACTCAAGGTCCACCCATAGCTCCGACTGCAAAGCCAAAGAAAGCTGTTCCCGAGTATTGCTGCAAAACCTTAGGGTAATTTCTGGCTGGGGTGGCAGCTCTTCAATGTGTGGGTGCCAGGAGCCACTCACCACAAGCAGCACCTTGGTGGCCTTGTGCAGCGGGCACCTGCGGTGGGTGCAATAGAGCATCCAGGCAGGGTGCCAGTGAAACAGGAGCCGCAGGAACCCTGCCGTCAGCAGCACCCCGCACCACGTCGCCAGGGTGCGCAGGTTGTCCGCACAGTACCCAACCACCTCCTGGGGGCAAGGAGAGGAAAACAAGGGTTTCACACGTCAAGGTTCAAGAAGCTCGACAGACAGGCGAAAGAATGCATCGAAGAACGGGACGACAAAAAACGCTTCGAAGGAGCTACAGGAATTTATATTTAATTTAATCTTAATTCAGACAAATCTGCCCAAATTATTGGAGCACAATTAGATAGTGATCACCTCCTGTGGCACCAACATAGCTCACTTACGTACATAGGCCTTCTGACATATAAGTGTCCTATAAGCTTATCATATTGCAGATGAATACTGCCACCCTTGAACACCAGTTAATTTTCCCTCTCTGCCTGGCATTTGCACTGGACGAGGGTCAATCAAATGAGCGAGGCACGGAGCATGCTTGTTGCTCGATCACAATGATGTTTGATGCAAAAGAGCACCTCAGGTCAGATAACTTAAAGTTGATACTGTTCCCCTCCCTAATCACAGACAAACGCAGACAAACAGCCAGTTGCTTAAAGGGGTACTCCGGCGATTTTTTTTAGCAACCCCAGCTAACTATATTTTTGAAATCGTCATCTTTTAGTCTATTTAGTATGCTATTTAGTATTGCGAAATTCAAAATAGTTATTGTGAAATTGGCAAATGAAAAGGATCCCAAAACCAAGATTCAAATATACCCACACTTTTCATTGCCATGCTGTCACGGGATGGCAAGCTTACGGTTCAGCAAGCTGTCCAAAAAACTATGCCGAGCATTTGTTTCGTGCTGCTGCGCGGGAGCTGGAGCGACCTTCCAAAGCATTCATTTGACACCCTGAAACTGTTTTTAATCAGTTGGGAAATAAGTCTACAGCCCAAATAGTGAACCCCTGCCTTCCCATGGTGTCACTTTTCCAATGTTGCCAGTAAAGCTTTTCACTTTGAAAAACACGATGAGGATCAAAATTGTAAATTCTATAACTCTGCGAAAAAAAGTTATTTTGGCCAAATATTTGAGTTACTACTTCAGCAATGTTTGTAGGTGTGTTTAGCAAGTTTTTAGGCAAATCGGCGACAACAAAGAAAACGGCGGAGTACCCCTTTAGAGAGACAAATTACCAGCACAAAACAGAAAGACACAATGACAACAATGAAAAACATTAATGTGTTTAACGGGGACTTGATTTATCATTGTACCACAACACAGTTGTTAAATATTTGTCCCCCCTACCTTGCTGGCTGGCTTCGTGCCAGGGTGAGAGACCTTACCTGTCTCTATTCTGAAAACATATCTGACAAACAAGTGCAACACACCGATTGTGAGACATAAAAACCTTACATAAAGAACAAATGCCATGAACACCACCGGTTGCAACGAGTTCTTTTACAGCCCTTCCAGAGTTCTTTTACAGTCCGTCAACGTTCACTGCACATGAGGCACAAGCCTAGCGTTCTTCCCTCTGCCGTGTAATCTCCCTCGGGAGCTAGGCCAAGTGACACCTGCCTTATCTTGTACGGCATTAAGATCTCCACTTTATGGATGTCTCAGGATGCACTATCTCTGCCTTGACCATACACGGAGTGTCACTGCCCTCCGAACGAGCTTTCTTTTTTTCTCTGAAGCTCATTTTTTAATTTTGTGAAAGTGGGGAGTTTGATGACATGACCATATATTTTCTGACAGCAAGAAGACAAAACAAAAGTAATATGTAATAATTATTTGCCAGTCAAGTCGTCTCTTTGAAAAAGTAAGTACATTCGATGTGAGTGTTAAGACATCACACAGTTGGTCTGCCCATATACGGCGACACTGATTCAAGCTTTAGATGAGAAATTTAGCCAGTGCAGTACAACTGCTGTCCCGGGTTCTTTTTAATGTACATCATGCAGTAGCAATGCATGACCATTTGCCGGTACAATGCTTATTTAAATCTAAATGGAGAGAGGCAGGAATCGAGCTCAGAAATCCCGTGTTTGCACAAGCTCTCGCTCCACATGCTCAAAGCTGCAGCCCCATCTCGTCCCATGACTCGCCATCAAATGACCACTTAAACTTTTCTCTTGGTATGTTTAGTCAACAAATTTCATGCCCCACCTGCCTTCTTTAATAATAGGTCATTTGACCTCGATGTGACAAAATTTTCTTGCATCTTTCTTAGAGGCTATAGCTATATGTTTTTCTATTACTCTCGGTAAAAATACTAATTTAATGGCAGTGCTTTTAACATGGAACAGACACACAAATTCTTTTGTTGAAGAATTCTCCGTTCTTTGTTGGTTCATTTTTGCAATATTAGCTAGTACAGTGCAAGTTGTACCTCAGTTTAGGTCGGCTTCCATCTTGCCAGATGAATTGAGCCCATGCCTGCTGGCTCAGGTTGGGTTAGATAAGATATGGTTAGCTAACTCAACACAGATTAGGTCAGCTGAAAATATGTCTGCTTACAATTGCCTCAACATGTACATACAAGAGCCTACAATCAAGAATAATTCCATCGAGAGTAAAAATTACCATTATTGTTATGTCTTCGTATCTCCCTGGTCAACAAAGTTTGTCATTGATAAATGGCTAAGACAAAGCACTTCAAAATTTAAAGAAAAAAATTAATGAAGGCCTTTTTTTCGATATGCTAAGAACTCACTGCCTGTGCTACATTTTCCACAGAGATGATTCCCAGCAGAGGAAGCAATGGTACGAGCTGTACGCCGACGAAGCAAAAGGAATGTGTGAGAAGTTTACACAACATCCTATCCTCAAAATGCGAAAGACCAACTTGTGTCACAGTGTCCCCCTATCCCAAAACACTCCTAATAAAATTAAAAAAAAAAAAAAAAAAAATGTTAAAAAGGGGCACTTAGATAAGGCATGCAGGTGTCAAATTGAAAGGGTGCGGTCACAGGTCCAGGGCTCCCTTCAAAAAAAGATTCTTCTCTTTTCTTTTTAGCATGGGGGGTCACCTTGTACATGGACGGGCTACATACAGGCAGGCTGCTATAAGAAACCATATTAAATTTGCATGTTAGTATATAGTAGCTTGCCAAGTGGACTGTTCTTTAAATAGAGTACATGCACCTGCTCTAGAATGTGCAATTTATAGAAAAGAATGCAGCTAAGTAGTACCACTGGTACTTTCTGGATGCAAAAATGAAGCCTTGAAGCAACCATATTAGCAGCACCAAAGTCCACAATATTGTGTATTGTAGAGTCGTGATACCGACAGGCCATTGGCAATGCAGTAGCTGTGCATCCACTAACCTCAGCCTGTACGATAACATGTTCTAGAGTGCTCTGTGCCCTTGATTTTTGTGCTTGTTGATTTTTTATGCCGCCAGCATCTGGACAAAAAATCGTCAACAAAGCAATTGGGCTCGCAATGAACACTTGTGTGAATGTGTACACTGAAAAGTGAGTAAAACAAAGTGGGGAACAGAGTGGGATGTCATCTCGTCCTCACAAAGCTGCAACTGCACAGGATGGTTCTTTGAAGTTCCCCAAAAAAAATCCTCCACACGTGAACACACTTGTTACGCTCTTGATATCTGGCAATTGTAATTATTCTGTTCCCCATAGTTTTGCCTTTATTGCTTTTGCCTATAGGGCAGTTTCATTTGAAATCGGACAGACACGTCAAAGTGGGTATTTTGATTTGCCTCAAAAAAAGATATGCAAAACTGTTCTTCAATTTTATTTTTGATTTATTTCCTTTCTTGGAAGTTTTTTTAAGTGGAGCAAGGTGAAATGCTACATTTCGGCTGCTTGACTTTTGTACCCAGTTCTGTCGGTTGCTACAAAAAAGTAAAAACGAGAAACTCGCAAGTTTTTATAGAAATGTATATAGTGCACCTAATTTTTTTAGTTCAAATTAACCTTTTTTGGTATAAATCATGCCAGAAATAACAAGTGCTATACATCACACCTTTGACGTTTTGGTGACATATTTGGAGCCTTGTACCTTAGGAGTCCCCATCACAAATATTACTTACTAAATACTGTAAACCTGCAGCCCTCTACATTGACTATTGACTGGTAACACTTTAATTCATTTTCACTCAGTAAATTATATAAATATTGTAATTTCATCAAAAATAAAATTTTGCCATATCTTGAGCCCCCTTTATTAAAAAAAAATGACATTTTATTTCTTTCTAGTTCTTTGCTATTATTCCAAATGATGTCACCTATCTTTTAGCATAATCAGAGTTCCCCCTTTTTTTGTTCCATTTTCTGTAGATGTCACCAAACACAGATCTAAGGACCCGAATAGACAAAATGATAGTTTTGCAAGTTGGCTTTACTGCAAGGCTTTTTTTGCTCAAATAAGGGCAGTGGCTTTGTAAGCTTTTGGGGAGTGAAAAAGTGACGGGAGCTGACAATGGAGGGGGGAGGGAACGTGTTATGTGGACGTGGCACCAATAAAGAAAAAATGTCCGACCGCAAAAAATGTTGTGGTGTATATTGTTGTTTATATCAGTTTAGTAAATATATTATTTTTGTATGTATACATAGTCTTGCCAGTGTTTCGCTGCTTGTCATGTTCTTTCCTTCCCAAAAAGTGTATGGCTCTATCTTAACGGCTTTTAAAAACCAGAAGGCAAAATCTACAATCCCGCTGTTGTAGCAAGCATTCCAGTCCTCTGCTTCAAATTTCTTGCATTCGAAGTTGCTTGTGTTCAGATTTCTCAATGGCTGACACTCACAGATCTGGTTGAATCTGCTTACGATGGTCAGCATAAAAGAAATATCAGAATGGAAGTTTTCCCTCTGTGAAGCACCTCAATATGGATCTGATAAGGTGTGACGATATGAACAGGACTTAAAACGAAAGAGACGAGGCAGTGAGAGCGCGCGCAGGGATGCGCTCAGGCCAGAGAACCGAAGGCAGTGATTGAGAATGAATGCATCGCGACACCGGTGAACCAGACGCCCGAGTTAAACCCCAGACAGGCGCCGAAAGGCCTGTGGAAGCTGAAACCAGGCTTGCTGGGGATCTGCCGCCTGCTCGGTGTCATCGCCATGAAGAATCAACATCCAGGCTCAAGGCTGCTGTGATTACCAAGAACAAGCGGTGCCTTGTAAGTGGAACCTCTCTGACTCACTTTATGTGGACTTGTATATAGCTCACTCTGCTTCCCATGCTTCTTGTTATTTTTTTATATTTTTGTAAATAATATCTATTCTTTTGCACAGACCGTTCTGGAATCCCAAGTCCTCATTTCCACCTTTTTCCATCACATAAGGTCAGCTATGACAAAAGCTCATGGGCATCGGCGCTTGCTTTTAATTTCATCCTAAAGTGAGTATGTCTTAAAGTGAGTATGTCTAACAAATAGACCTTATTACATATATTTTGACTACACTTCCCTCGTTGCAATCTTAAACGACTTACCTGGGCACATTCCATGTTTGGACTTTGATTTAAACATCCAAGGTTGCCCTTGTGCAGTACCCAGTGGCCAAGTGCAACACCTCTTATTTTTTAACAAAATTACTCTTTTAGATGTTGGTACTGTCCGTGCGGTGCAATACCTCGATGCTATAATCTTTCACCCGCAGTAAAGACATCACAATTTCCTTTTCGCCTCAGTTAACGAATGCTGACATGAGTATCCGATGCTGGCATCCAGTAGCACACTGTCTTGACAACAACTTGATGCACATTGATTCACCACTCATCACTCGAGAAACAGGAGCAATAAGCTGGCAAGTTTCAGTTCCTTAATTGGTCTAGCAAACAGTAGCTAATTATTTTCTTCTTTTTCTTTTTTAATTTTCAGGCAATACAAGTTTTAGTTTGCCTAGCTTTCTTTTTAGCTCCGATTCTCTCAATTTTGTGCTTTTCGCCAATGGAAATTTTCATGAACTAGTGTCTAGTCCTCTGCTAGGAATTCTTTCCTTGAAGTCTGTGAGCACACAATGCTCGGAAGCAGCACTAAGTTGGGGACGAATCTGAGCTCAACTCACTGGCACAGGATGCAGAAAGTTGCCCCAGGCATGCGAAGCAATTCTGGCAGAGTATGTCAGTATTCTGGCAGAATAAGTCAGTGTCAGCATTCTGGCAGAGTATGTTAGCACTGAGATGAGTCCAGGATGACCTCAGCAGATGCACAGTGAGACAGTTCTCAGAGCAAAAAAAGCATTACTTTTAATATATCTTCTTTTTACGTCGACCATCCAAGGAGGCTGCACCAAATCTGAACGTCGGTCATTGATAAAACTGGACACAAGCGACTTGTAGGGAAACTGGAGCAGGTGACTGGAATGCTAGCCACAACATTAGGGCTATTGGTTGTAGACATTGTCTTCTGGTTTTTAAAAGCCGTTAGGATTGAGTGGGTACACTCTTCTGGAAGGGGGGGGGGGGGGGGGGGGGGGAGTTATGATGGCAAGCAGAAAAGCACAAACAAGGCAAGAAATACAAAAACATTATATATACTAATCTGACATAAACAACAATATGCACACCTACTTAAATGGCCTAATTCAAATTAAAGAAAAAAAAAGGAGCTTGTTCGTTTGACTACTAAACAAAGACCATGCAGGGAAGTCAGGATGTGTCCTGTGCGCCCCGTAGGCATGCAAGACACTAACACAAACCGTACTGTGTGTGGTTTGTGGTAGTTTTTTCATCATGCACTACAGACGATAGCCAAGGCAATACTGAGCGAACGAGCTGCAGGTGTGCAGTACTTAGTAAAAAAAATATTTTTGATCAATTCTAAGATACAAGGCTCCAAATATGTCACCAAAACATCACAAATACGATGATTTGAATTTTTTATTTCTGGCATGAATTATACCAAAAAAAGGTAAATCTGAACTAAAAAAACTTTCAGTTATTCCACTCTGGTGAAGAAGGAAGACCAGCGAAGCTGTACTATGGTCAGACGACCTCAAGGACGACTTCTTGGACAACCTCAAGGACGACGCCTAAGGACGACGTAAAGGACAACCTCAAGGACGATGTCTAGGATGACCTGAAGGCCGACTTCTAAGACGACCTCGAGGACAACGCCTAGAGGACGACCTCAGGGACGAATCTAGATGACCTCAAGGACGACTTCTAGGATGATTTCGAAGCAATGTCTAGGACGACCTGGAAGACGACCTCAAGGACGATGTCTAGGACGACCTCAAGAATGACTTCTAGGATGGATTCTAGGACGACTTCGAGGACAACCTCTCGGACAACATCAAAGAAGACCTCGAGGACGGCATCTAGGATGACCTCAAGGACAAGTCCTAGAATGACCTCGAGGACAAACTCAAGGACGACGTTTAAAACGACCTCAAAGACGACCTCGAGGACGACGCCTAGAGAAATTCAGCCTTTCCACTCTGGTGAAAACCAGAGTCGAAAGGCTGGGAAGGTTGTCGCCATCTAGGAGCAAGGCCGGCAAGCTGATTGTCTGGTTGCCACCGTCGCTCATAGATGGCGGTAGCTGTCCAGAGTTTTGTGTCAACATTTTTTTGCGGGGGACACGATCCTGGGGAAACTGGCCCTTAACAGCTCCGCTGTAAAAATATGCCGTGCATTATACTTTTTTTTTCATTTATTGTGCTGTTTTTAACTCTTTTATAACAACTGACATAACTGGGTACAAGAATCAAGCAGCCGAAATATAGCATTTCACCTTAAGAATTTTAGTGCAAGGAAATAAATCTAAGGCACTGGGCATGAACAGCAAGGGGAGAGGGGAGGGAACTATATCATTTGGGGGGGAGGAATCAATCTGAAATTTCTCCTCATGGCCATTGACACAGTCCACGCCATCCCTCATGGGCAGTTCCACTGCTTGCCAGTTCGCAAATACTACAAATCCCGCCTCATCCAATTCAGACGTAGTTCTAGAGCCAAATAGCTGTTGCACATTGTCTGAAGTTTGGATATGATCCAGCTTCACCAAAAGAGAACACCCAACTTTTGAACAGTGTCCAAACCACTGCCTGCTGGGGACTAAATAGGAGGAAAGGTGGCAGAGAGAGAAAGAGAGAGAGAGAGAGACAGGAAACACATGAAGCATCCTAGACCAGAAGGAAGGGCACCCACCATTTGATCCTCCTCGTGGGCATTGACGTAGTCCACGCCATCCTTCATGGGCGGTGGTCCCAGCTTGCGGCATTTTCCTGGAAGGAAACGATTCACGGTTGGTGACCTCCCCCAATCGCCTGAGCGCAGAAATAACGACGAGGACGAGCATCGGCGCGTGCCAGCGCTAATCGGCGGCCGGCCGGGTCGCGGCACCGGCCAAGCAAAGGGGTTACGAAGGACGCCGAAGCCGGCACGCAAGCAGCGCGCGCAACGTGTAATTTGGCGGCCCACTCGTAGGACCCTCATCGCGACCACCCCGAAGACCGCGAGATCCTGGGGGAAAGGGGTAAGCCGAACCGTGCAATCGCCGCGCCGCGGTACCCACTCGCGAATGTTGTAGCACGAGGAGCGGCGTCGGGTTGCGCGTACGCACCGTGGTACGCACTCACGTTCATCGCCCTTCCCGGTTCAGGGGGGGGGGGGGGGGGGACGTAACCGGCGCGAGCTCGGAGTTTTTGACGTGTGTGCGCTCGCGCAGCGGGAGCGCAAGATGGCACAAGTATGCAGCTAGGAAAGCGGACGAGATCGCAGCTGTCACAACTTTTACGACAGCCCGAAAAGCTGGGTCTGTCGGACCACGTCTCACGAGCGATTTTTTTATCGACACACGTTCCGTGGGCGCACGTTTCGTCGAAAGGAAATTGTGACGTTTTGGGGATACTCATTTCGTTAACCATGTTGATTTAACCTGAGACTGGGGTAGAGAAGAAGCATCAAAACGTAGAAGGGACAGAAAATAGACAGGACGACGTCTCACTACTCTCAGGTTAAATCAACATGGTTAATATTCACCAGCTCGCCTGCACCCATACGATTTTTTCTATTACTCATTTCGCGGACACAAGATCCTTTGCAAGTTGATTAACGTTACAGCGCACCACAATTGATCAACATGAACTACCAACTCGCCCAGTTTTGCAAGATCCTTCGACAAATAAATAAACAAATCGTCGACAACATTTTATGTGGATTGGACAGGATTTCTGGCTTCATTGTTCGCTTCGGGAATGCCCCGATAAAGCAAAAAGGAATTTGCGAGCCTTAATCCTAATCTTCCTAATATACCGCAATATGGGCAATCACCCCTTGCTTGGTTCCGCTCGGGGCTTGCACCAAGGCGATGTGCGGCACGGAAAGACTATTTTCGACGAAACGTCGCAAGGTGCGTCGCCGAAACGAAATTTCATGCATGGAACGCGTACAGAAACATGACAAAAACCATGTTGGTGCACTTTTGACGTCGGGACTCTCTTTTGTGTTCCTCAGGCGTGGCGGACGTGTCCTTCCGTAATCTTCTAGAGTCCAGAAGATTAAAGAAGATTGACCCGTCACTCAAAATTTGTACAAAAGCAGCTTCTCCGCCTTTCTCTCTTTCTCTCCCGTGGTGGTGCGAAAGGGATGATGTGACGTCAGTACAAGGCATGTTATCTGTGCAGGTCGCGCACCAGTCACCTAGCTGTGTTAGGAGATTTGTTTGTCCTTTGTCCCTCTTGTTGCCCTTCTCCGGGGATTATTATCGTCATTCCTGTCCAGCTCGCTTGCACCTTTGCATTTAATTGCTATATAAAGGCCTGTTCACACATACAGCGGAGCGCTAAGTTAGCGCCAAGTTAGCGCTACGTGAGCGCTCCAAGGAGCGCTAATGTGGCGCTTCCTAGCGCGTGGCTTAGTTCTAACATAGCGCACGATTAGCGCTTCTGTAGCGCCTTGTTAGCGCTCCAGCAGCGCTTTGTAAGCGCTCCAGTAGCGCTTTGTTAGCGCTACAGTAGCTCCTTGTTAGCGCTTCAGTAGCGCTTCTTGTACCGCGGTGCTGCGGATTAGCGCGTACACTGCGGTACCGGTTCCTGTGGTTGGGTGTGCATCAGCAGCACCATGGCGGACATGTGGGATGCTGAAATAGAAATGCGACAAATGCTCTTAGACAAGTGATTAGTGCATATGTGTGAGGACGGCTTAACGCCCAGAAGCGCCTTCTGGGTGCGCGAAATCTTTCGCCATCGAGATACCGACGGGTCCCCGGCGAACCTTGTTCCTAGGCTGAGGGACCGAGACACAGAGCTCTTTCGAAGGCGATTATTTTTAACTGCGTGTCTTTGAAACCAGGGTCACGCATATCGAATAGAAAGCGATGAGGTCGTACCCAACCAATTAGTCGCTCAGAGTTCATGACTGGATCGCCTGCCCGACCCTTTGCTTGGAGAGCGGCTGTTTTACTTCCTCTTCTTTCAATGCCAAAAGAAAAACAGCAAAAGAATCGCCGTGCACGCGCTGTTCCGCAGCAGCAAGCACGGCACAAGGAGCGTGAACTCCTTGTATACCGTGTACCATAAACTCATTCGCTCAAAGAAGATGACTTAAGTCAAGATCGGCGAGCGTAAATCACCTTTTTATAAATATAATAAAGACATTTTCCAACCAAGGAGCGTGAGAGCGCTAACAAAGCGCTTCTGTGGCGCTAACAGAGCGCTTCTGTAGCGCTAACAGAGCGCTAACAAAGCGCTTCTGATGCGCTAACAGAGCGCTACATCACGCGCTAGGAAGCGCCACATGAGCGCTCCTTGGAGCGCTCACGTAGCGCTAACTTAGCGCTCCGCTGTATGTGTGAACCGGCCTTAACCATATCGGTACTCCCCGAGTTTCTTGTGGGCGCCGCCATCTTGGTTCTTTCTCCACAGCGGGATCAACTGGCGATCGCTACGGGTCAAAAATTCGACTTCCCAGATTCGGACACGGTGTCGGGAAGTTCAGGCGATATAATTTTGCCCTGTCTCGTAGCCTTTTCTCGTTGTCTCGTCTCGTTTACATTACTGAAGAACGAAAAAAAAATATATATATATTGGGTACATCTCGAGGCTTCTAGCATTGAGGTCTATCCACTGTCTTCCGATCAAAGCCAATCGGAACTCGGCGTCGTTCTGTCGTCACCGCAAACCCACGAAGACGACGAGACCCATGACGATGTACTTTTGGCGCTGCTCGATGGATTGGCTCTATGTGGAGAGCAAGTCGTCTGCTTCTTTTGCAGGGCTTGTGGTGACGTCAGAAGGACGTCGAGCTCTGATTGGCCCTGGGTGAAGGACAGTGGGTCGATCTCAAAGCAAGCTGCCTGGAGGCCTACCCATTGACCTTCAATCAGAGCCAATCAGAGCTAGGCGTCGTTCTGACGTCACCACAAGCCCTGCAAAAGAAGCAGACCAACTTGCGCTCCGCATTGAATCGAAGCGACGGCCGCGTGTGTGTAACTTTACCCAAACGCAAACGCGCAGTGAATAAATTGCGGACTTACTTGAAGACCGTTTAGTCTCCATATCCGTCGTCCCCTTAGCGTTGATTGAATTATAAGGGTCAAAGGAAAGGTCTATATAAAAGGCGGACCTGCGGTCGGGATCGATGCGTAAAAAAAAAAAAAAAAAAGCCAAAAAAGAACAAAACCACGAACGTTGCTTTTTGGTACAGAGAAGAGAGTTGGTGAGGTATCGCTAGAGCATACGCCGAGATGTGGAGAAGGTGATAAAAGAGGGGAGTGCACATGTCGTCGAGGACGTCAGATCTACGAGGAGTCGTTGGTCGGAGTCGGGGAAGCTTGAGGGCAGGGCGAGGGCTAAGAAAGATACGGGCGATCCAATAAACAATCAAACTGGCGTTGTCGAAAAAAAAAAAAAAGAATTGCTACACACGATACTATCTTCTGATAAAACAAGAAAAGAAAAGCCATGGTTTTTCCACTGCACCACTCGATTAGGGTGCCTCGGTGTGCTCGATGATAGCCGACGCAAACACGCGAGGAGACTGGCATTTGCGATGATATAAGGGCGCCGGAGTGCCGAACCCGACCGACATCAAAGACAGGGCCCTGTCTTTGATGTCGGCGACCCCTTTCCTTTTCAAGAAAACAAAAACGAAGCAAGAAACCGACGCTGCTCAGAACCAATACTATAGTTGTTTCTTTTTTTTTTTTTTTTTTTTGGAGGGGGGGGGGGGGGGGGGTTTGATAGTTTTTAACGTTTTCGTTGACATTTCACTCGACTTTCTGGTCAGAGAAAAGAGCGTATTTGGGCTAAAGATTGTAAATTCGATGCACAGTGACCCGACCCCTATAAAGGAAAAATGGCGCCATTCATTGTTGTGGAAATGCGCGAGACACGTGCCATGCGCCACTTCTGGGAAGAACATGGCGTCTGAAATCTAGCTCAATCAGTGAGCTCAATGCTGCGCTGCGCCGTCATGATCTTGACGGTGCACGTGCTTGGTGCATCGACGCACCTTGCGCTTAAAACATAAAGGGGCTTTACCTAAAGCTCCTCCCATCCTGGGAAAGTGGCGCCATTCATTGTCGTAAAAATGATCGAGACACGTGCCGCGCGCCACTTCTGGGAAGAACGGGCGGCGGAGAAAAGCTCACCGAAGAAAAGCTCACCGGAGAAAAGCTCACCGGAGAAAAGCTCACCGGAGAAAAGCTCACCGGAGATAAGCCCACCGGAGATAAGCCCACCGGAGATAAGCCCACCGGAGATAAGCCCACCGGAGATAAGCCCACCGGAGATAAGCCCACCGGAGATAAGCCCACCGGAGATAAGCCCACCGGAGATAAGCCCACCGCAAAACCGGCAGATGCGGAGAAAAGCTCACCAGCCTTTGAGCGGATGCGGAGGAAAGCTCACCGATTTTTTCTTTAACTTAGCCGATTCTGCGTGAAACGTGGTAATTTAACACAATTCGCAATCGTCACTTCATTAAAATTACGTCCTCTTTTTTTGTGATATCCTTGAAGTTCATTGGGCATATTTACTAAATTCTCAGAAATTAGTAATCAAGCATTTTGTATATTAATGAAGCCGCGAGTATAAAATATGAACATTGCTCACCGGTAAAACAGACAATTTATTGACAACTGACAGTGCGCCGTCGGTAGCTCTGTCAAATAAAGAGGTGTGTTCTTTGCGAGTTAATATGAAGAGCGGTGTGAACCGTTTCAGCTCCAAATATTGCGTAGTGCCTAATAGATAAGTAGGTGTTGATGTAATCAGTGTCGGCT